AGATATTTACAAGGGGTAAAACATTTTTTCACTGGAGAGTTTTAACTATTTTTTTTTTCTTAACTGAAAACCTCTTCAATTCATAAAGAAGTTATATGTGGAAGTCCAATAGAGCAAAGAGCAAATGCATTCTTGAGGAGTAAAGACAGTAGGAATTATATTCTCCATGTATTTCTTTCCCACTTATTCCTGTATATATGAGGAGAAGAATCCCTTGTCTGTAGGACTGGCACTGCACACACTACCTTCAGGCTGGTCTGCAGCCCCATAACCTCGTATAATGGTGGTTATTAAAAACAGAACATCATGGAGAGGGTATGGAGAAAAGGGAACCCTCTTACACTGTTGGTGGGAATGCAAACTAGTACAGCCACTATGGAGCAGTGTGGAGATCCCTTAAAAAGCTGGAAATAGAACTGCCATATGACCCAGTAATCCCACTGCTGGGCATACACACTGAGGAAACCAGAACTGAAAGAGACACGTGTACCCCAGTGTTCATCGCAGCACTGTTTATAATAGCCAGGACATAGAAGCAACCTAGATGCCCATCAGCAGACGAATGGATAAGGAAGCTGTGGTACATATACACCATGGAATATTACTCAGCCATTAAAAAGAATACATCGAATCAGTTCTGATGAGGTGGATGAAACTAGAGTCTACTATACAGAGTGTAGTAAGCCAGAAAGAAAAACACTCAATACAGTATACTAACACATATATATGGAATTTAGAAAGATGGGAACGATAACCCTATATGCAAGACAGCAAAAGAGACACAGATGTATAGAACAGTCTTTTGGACTGTGGGAGAGGGCGAGGGTGGGATGATTTGAGAGAATGGCACAGAAACATGTATATTACCATATGTGAAACATATCGCCAGTCCAGGTTTGATGCATGGGACAGGGTGCTCGGGGCTGGTGCAGTGGGATGACCCAGAGGGATGGGATGGGGAGGGAGGTGCGAGGGGGGTTCAGTACTGGGAACACATCTACACCCATGGAGGATTCAAGTCAATGTATGGCAAAACCAATACAATATTGTAAATTAATTAGCCTCCAATGAAAATAAATAAATTTATATATTAAAAAAAACAGAACATCAGATGCAAATGCCTGAACATCTACTCAAGGGGTCCATATTTGAAGGACCCATTAAGGTTTCTTCCTTGTGATCTGTGCTTCTCTGTTAGCAGAGTGGCCACACTTTTGCTGACATTCTGCACACAGGAAGTTCTAAGAACAAGTGCTGTTGATCCTGGCAAATCCCACTTTTAGGCATTTAACATATGGTACAGGTAGCATTTCAAATTGATTATAATGAAAGATGATAAGTGGTGTTGGGACAATTTGGGAGAGAAAAAGAAAGACCACCTTATACTGCAAAAAGCAACCAGGACTAAACGTTAAAGAAACTATAGATTAATTTAAAGAAAATTCAGAAACCACAGAGTATGAAAATGTTTCCTAAAAAGCAAATCCATTAAGAAAAAAGTTACATATATTTAACATTAAGTTATATAAAGAGCTCCCATAAATCAATAAAAAATTCTAACAAACCAAGAGGGAATTGGCAAAGGGTATAACTGGATAAAGGGTTCAAATAGTTAATGAAAATAAAGTGCATTTGAATTAAACAGTTCACCCCATACCCCAAATTCTTAAAATCATTTGCTATTTTTTTCCCTGTGGGAGATTTTGAAACAAAATGGCAAAGAGGGAGTTAGAGAAAATAGAGATGTGGAAAAAAGAATTAATTCTGAATAATGCTTTGTATGTATGTCTATACACATAGAAAGTTGAAAGAAAATAAACCAATATGTTTTCAGTCATTATCTCTAGATAATATAACTAAGCATAGTTTTTACTTTCTTCATATGGTTCTTTATTTTTAAAATTCTTTATAGTGAACATATGCTTCTTATAAAAAATTAATCTCTTCTCTCTATATACATACATGTATACACACGTATACATAACATATATTTGTCTTTGTTTACTAAGTCATGTCTGACTCTTTGTGATCCCATGGATGACAGCCCACCAGGTTCCTCTGTCCACGGGATTTCCTAGGCAAGAATACTGGAGTGGGTTCAGTTCCTTTGCCAGGCTCCAGGGGATATTCCTGACCCAGGGATCAAACCCACGTCTCCTGCATTGCAATAGGTTCTTTACCACTGAGCCGCAAAGGGTAGTATATATAACAATATAAGATGTATACACACACACACACACACACACACATACCAGGGAAGTAAATATATAATTTAAAAATACAAAACCATATGGAGAAAGTAAAAACTACACACACACACCCATAGATTGTGAATAACTGAACAGATATCCAAAATCTTGTGAAAGAATCAGGGGCAGCTACATACACCAAGTGTTCTTTTCCCCATGCCATCAGATAGCCAGGAAGGAAGACAAGAAAGAAGAGTTTTCACGTCTAACTAAAGTTAGCAGAAGAGAACGAGAGTACTCCACTCCAGGTGTAAGATGAGAATGACGTGGGAAAAGATGCACATACACAAATGTGAAGGAGAGGGGGCATCTGACATTGATTCACTGGTTTGCTTCAGCCCATCCAAGAACACACATCTGGTCATCATTAATGTGCATTGCCCTGCGGGAGTCAGAGGTCATGTTTCCCAGGCCAACGGGTTCTCACTGCCCCTGCATTCTGAATAGGAAGCAACTTTCGGTGGTGAACATGGGTAACGGGGTGGCAACGTCACGTCATTCAGCCTGACCTGACAGGTGTGCTCAGCAACCCTTGTTGCACATCCAGCTTCCCGTGTTGCCCAGCAAGGAACATACACAAAGGAAATATCACCTCATCAGAAATTCTGAGTCTTTAGCACATGCTGCTGAATATCACGATATACTTAATATGACACTACACACAGAAATCCATTATTCTTAAAAAAAAAAATTCCAAGGATTTGAGGGTAATACATAGGGATGAAGAGAAGGAAGCTGTGGTTTTCTAGATGAAAGGTGACCTATTTCTTCGCTACATTGTTTCTCCCTCAGGTCAAGGCACTGACCATTAACCTTTCTCATGAGGTAGCAAGCTAAGTGACAAGGCCCAGAAGGAAGCGAAATACTCAAGGCAGAGATCTTATTCCTCCTTAGCATTTAAAAACTAAAAAACCCTGCTGCTCATTTTCATAGGGAAGAGATAAATTATCCAACTAGTAATCCTGTGACAACAAGGAAAAATGATCCATATCTAACTCCAAAATAAATTCTAGCTAGTACCAAGGTGCATACTGAAAAAGGTGATGATGAAAAGGCTTAGACAACAACAGCTCAGTTCAGTTCAGTCGCTCAGTCATGTCCCACTCTCCGCAACCCCATGAATCACAGCATGCCAGGCCTCCCTGTCTATCACCAACTCCCGGAGTCCACCCAAACCCATTTCCATCATTTGGTGATGCCATCCAGCCATCTCATCCTCCCTCGTCCCCTTCTCCTCCTGCCCCCAATCCTTCCCAGCATCAGGGTCTTTTCCAATGAGTCAACTCTTCGCATGAGGTGGCCAAAGTATTGGAGTTTCAGCTTCAGCATCAGTCCTTTCAAAGAACACCCAGGGCTGATCTCCTTTAGGATGGACTGGTTGGATCTCCTTGCAGTCCAAGGGACTCTCAAGAGTCTTCTCCAATGCCACAGTTCAAAAGCATCAATTCTTCAGCACTCAGCTTTCTTCACAGTCCTTATTTAGGAAGACTGAATTTTCCACACTAGCATTTTCAATTGGCTGTCTGCCATGAGTGTGGCGAGGTTTCTTGTTCTAACACTTCATCCTTCCTACTGCTGTTCCTTGGTTACATTACATCCCTGAGCCTACACTAGGGGCATGGAGTTGGCTCTGTGGAGGAGCTCTGGATTGAACCTCAGATCATCTGAGCGACAGGCCTCAACTACTTGCCCTGAAGTACTAACATAGAATCACTTCCTCAACTCAAACTCTTCCTCTGCCCCTTTAACGATTTACAAAACACTTGTTTAGTCACTAAGTCGTGTCCGACTCCTGTGACGCCGTGGACTGTAACCTGGCAGGCTCCTCTCTCCATGGGATTCTCCAGGCAAGGATACTGGAGTGGGTTGCCATTTCCTTCTCCAGGGGATCTTCTGGACTCAGGAACTGAACCCAGGTCTCCTGCATTCCAAGTGAGGATTCTTTACCAACTGAGCTATGAGGGAAGATCCACCCTTAACTAACCCCAATTAACTTTCCCAGCCTGATCCACCTGTTTCTTCCAATAACTATACGTTCCAGTCATTTAGAGCAGTAGTCCCCAACCCTTTTGCCATCGGGGACTGGTTTTGTGGAAGACAATTTTTCAATGGACCAGGGAGTGGAGGATGGTTTCAGGATAATTCAAGTGCATTACATTCACTGTGTACTTTTTTCCCATTATTATTACATTAGTTCACCTCAGATCATCAGGCATTAGATCCTGGAGGTGGGGACCCCTGATTTAGTCCTATTTGTGGTTTCTCCAAACATACACCATGCAGTATACTCTTAACTCTTCTAAACGCTATTTCCTCTCCCTGGAAGCTCTTCCCCAACCCACGGCATCCCCAGGAATTCCAAGCTATATCTGACACACAGCACACCACTTTCTCCAGGAGGCCTAATGACCTTGGAAAGGATGCCGAACTCCTCTGGAAACAGCATGGCTACACTTATCTGTGATGTCTCGTTTCCTGTAACAGCGTAAGCTCTTCAGGACAGACACCATGTCTAGCTCACTCGGGTGCTCAATCTGCTTAGAACAAGGCCTTGTAGGGAACCAGCATCACAGGAAAATTGAAGAAAGTGCCCTCCAGACACTCGAGGAAATAGGCAAATGGCCTTTTACACTGAATGACTGGATGTCCTTACAAAATGTATCAAACTTGTCATATGAATTCCCAAACAGAACCATATCAGAATTGAAACAGCACGTTTAACTAAATGCAAGGAAAGCAAGTGTTTCTTACTTTGAGTTGTAGTCGCACTCGGGCCAAAAAGAATTTCCAACAGTTTTCTCTGGAGTCCACCATGCCCAGACCACGAACTTCATTACGAATTCCAGAAATTATCTTGTCTACATCTTCATCACTGAACAGATCAGGAATTTCCCCTGCCCCCAAAGGAATGAGTAGAATCATTAAAAGACTGCTATAATTCATATTTTAGATATGACCTAAAATGCTTTCTAATACAAAGTTCAGCTTTAATGATAGAGTTTGAAACCAGAAATGCAATTTTTTTTTGTATTTATAAGACACGACACAGTGACGACAAGCTGTGACAAACCCACCCACTAAACCTGCACAGGCAGGAATAACATTTACTTCATTGAAGGCCTCTCCAAGGCCTCTCACATCGTAAGCAGACTAAGAAAGCGATACACTTCAAATTAGTTAGGTTTATATGTTTCTCCCCAAAGAATGCCCTGACAAACATCTCAAAGACAAATTATCTCTATTTAAAGTTCACTGAAACCACAGATCGTTTGTCTTTGGGGAAGATCTTTCATGGAATATGTTGGTTTAATCACCTGATGCCAGCAAGTCATTAATCAGCACAAGAAAGCTCTCATCTAGAACCTGGGCATCTGTCAGCAGGAACGCGGTGGGCATGTTCTTGGCTCCGGTTCTGATGTACAGATTGGCAAGATCTACCTATAAGGAACAGAGGCCATCACTCACACTGTGTGAACATGCTGGTGTGCTGTTGACGAGGGGTGGGGAGAACTGAGACGCTACAGCGGGAGGGCTGGGAGCCGTCCTTTCCCCGTTTATATGTTCTTTCCTCTCTTCTTGGGGGGGGCAAACACTATGACATCAGCTCCATTTCTGGCACATAATGATGAGTGTCATATTCATGGCTTCACGGAGCCCAAGGTGCAAACAGGCTCCCGACAAACTCCCTTCCATTCATGCAAAAGTGAATTCAGTAATGATTTTGTCAAGCAACGCAGTGAAAAGAAGGTTTTGGCTCATTTTAACAACTGCCTACTTCATTGTTCGGTGACTTAAGAGTTTACTAGTTTTATTTAGTAATACTGAAAGCAAGTGGTTTGTTGTTTGCTTTAAAATAGCACTTGCCACAAACTCTAAGTGCTATTTTGTAAGTACTGTTGTGATTTAAAAGCAAAATTTTAAAAAATGTATCAGGGTTTCTCGACTGTATCCCCATCATATTTTCACAATCTGATACAAAGTGGAGAAAATCTCTATGCACTTGTTTAAAAAAAAAAAAGGATCCCCCCCCCCGCCACCCCGCTCCATTGTATTGGTGTATGAATACTCCTGATTATCAAGTCTGGTCAGTACAAAAGAAAAACATATTTGTGTAGGCAAGTATTTAATAAAATGTTTTCTGAGCAAGTTTGACAGGCTTATACACATATAAAATGTTGGTAGCAGTTTACTATTATTAATTCGACAATGAAGGAGAAAGTTGAAGTGTTAGTCCCTCAGTCATGTCTGACTCTCTGCGACCCTATGGACTGTAGCCCGTCAGGCTCCTTTGTCCATGGGGATTCTCCAGGCAAGAATACTGGAGTGGGTTGCCATTTCCTCCTCCAGGGGATCTTCCAGACCCAGGGATCAAACCCAGGTCTCTTGCACTGCAGGCAGTTTCTTTACCATCTGAGCCACCAGGGAAATCCATGAAGGATCAACAGCCAACTAAATCCTCTAAAGAGCTTACCCGCCTCCAGGCTTGACTGGAGCACCTTCATCCTGGGGCAGAAGGAGCATGGGGCCGCCCATCACCAGACTTACCCGAAGTTCCTGGACCCCGAAGCCTTGGGTCAGAGTGATCTGGAAGACCTCAAGGCTGCAAACATGAGCTGCCAGCCGGGCTAGGCTCTGCTTGCCACTGCCGCCCACTCCGACCAAGAGCGCATAACCCTGAGGGGACTGCAGGATGCGGCTGATGCGACATCTGGGGAGAGAGAGTATTCCCAATAGATGATATCCAATGGGCCCCAGGGCTATGCTGCTTTAATTTTTCAGATATTTAAATACTAAACTCCGATTTTTATTTCAGACTTTCGGTCCTTGTTCTTCTGTTTCCCAAGCAAAAAGATGCTGCCTGCATCTGCCCCCTAATCACTTGTCTAACAAACTACCCTGGCCAATGACATCTGTACTCCCACTGCTGTGTTACTCTCCCCCAAAAGAAGGCAGAAAATGAAGACAAGGCCTTGCATCAAAGCATCACATTTTCCTGATTAGCAAGAAAGATCCTAATGTCACATCAGTGTCCATGTATAAGGATATCACAGGGAAAATGTCTTTGTACCAGAAACTTTGCTATAGAATTACTTTGGGAAGAACTGATTTTTTTCAGACCAACAAACACCTCACATGCGATTTACTTCATGCATTTTAAACACTTGCCTTTTTTACATGATTCTTATCTCCCCTGCATGAAAGCTTTCCCCTTGCCTTGAGCCATCTAAAACATTCTCAGAAAGTGTTAGAATCCAAGAGTTAAATCTCCAGTAAAGTCAGCTAATCCCTTTTTCTGTATTATCAAAGAGGTTCTGAATGCTTATCCTATTGATATTATTGTTACATCTACAGCTAGGAGTAAGTTGGCTTTAACATGATCAACATAAGCATGTGCTCAGTTGCTTCAGTAGTGTCCAACTCTTTGCAACCCCAGGGACTGTAGCCCACCAGGCTTCTCTGTCCATGGGATTCTCTAGGCAAGAATACTGGAGTGGGTGGCCATGCCCTCCTCAAGGGGATCTTCTAAACTCAGGGATGGGACCTGCATCCCCTGCATTGCAGGTGGGTGCCTTACTGCTGAGCCACCAGGGAAGCCCCCAATATAAGCATATGGAAGCCCAAATGCAAAAAATTAAAAAAAAAAAGGCTACTGTATTTGCTCTCAGTTGCTTTCCTGAGATGAATTTAAGCTGTGAACAATCCAAACAACCTTTAACATATTTTTTTTTAAGAGTACTTTTTGAAAGAATTAAGTTGGGATCGCTTATACTAGGACCAGCACACACAATCATTTCCTGAAAACCTTCAATAACTGAAAGACAGGTTATTTTTCCAAGCTCAGCCACCTCATTATATTTTACTTCACATGACCACATGATAAAACCACCTTGGCAAAGCTGTGAGATTACTCTAGTAATCTCTTGAGTGAAACCCCAAGTTACAAGGCAGGGTTTTCATTTCATTTTAATGTGTGCTTTGAGGTCTGCATCGACAGAGTCTGTAAGTGGCAAAGTCTCTTTATACAAAGTTCAGGGACAGACTGGAATCATCTCTGATGTGGAGTAAATCAGTTTCTAGCTCACAATCCCTAATCAAAGTACCAGCTTTTCCTTAGAGGTCACTGAGAACTCTGTGTTGAAGGATTACAGGGGACAACTCCTCAGTGCCAACAAGACATTTCTTCCACATGAACCATGACAGACGGCCAGTGTACATTAACCCAACCAGAAATAGCATTACTAACAATTCACTTATCACCATGCTCAGAGATTCTAACGGAAGCTTCCCTTGTCTGCTAATCAGAGGACTGTCACTGCAAAGGGATCCATAAAACAATCAGTATGTAGGAAGCTTATAATAAATGATGACAGGGAAACCTCCCAAGTTTTTCTTAGGCACTTGGGCTCAACATTTTAAGGAGTGACTCTTCTAAAAATCAAATTCTCAGAGTTAGGGTCATCCCCCCATGCCCCCCACCCCCGCCCCCGCCCCTGCCCCTGAGGAGGGCTATAGGGGAGTTCTACATAATTTTTGGAGGTCTTGTGAGATAAACAAGACCAACCAAAAAAAAAAAAAAAAAAAAGAAAGAAAAAAAAATAAAAAAAAATAAAAATCAAATTCTCCACCTTCCTTGGGTCTGTTCAAATTGCATTCCTCATATACTTCCTTCTTTCTTGACTTATTTCATTATTTTAATCTTTGCCCAAGTGTCACTTGTTAGAAAAGCCAGCATTATTAACTGAATAGCATTCCCCCAAATGCATATACTGAAGCCCTAACCACCAGTACCTGAGAATATAGACTTCTTAGGAAATAGAGTGGTTGAAGAAATTGGTTACAATAAGGTCACAGAGGAGTAGGGTGTATCCAATATGACCGGTATCCTTATAAAAAGGAGAAATTTGGATACAGACACACACAAAGGGAGAAAGCCACGTGATGACTGAACTCAGGCTGTCGCAACACAAGGAACTTCCAGAAGCAAGGAAAGAATTCTGGGGCAGACTCTCCCCAGCACCTTCTTGAGGGCGCACGGCCCTTTTGACATCTCGATTTCAGGCTTCCTGCCTTCAGAACTGTGAGACAATAAATCTCTGTTTTTCTACACTGCCCAGTTCGCAGTGTTTCGTCAGAGCAGCTCCCGCACACCAGTAGAGCCAGTGAGAAATGACAGTTACCGGGAAGCAGGACAGGAAGGGAAGGTGCCGTCGGCTTCCCACGCAGCAGCAGCAATGCCCAGCTGTTTGCTCTACTCAACCAACCCTGTCATTCCCATGCTAAACTCTGACCCGGAACTTCTCACTGCACTTAGAACGAAATAAACCCCCCTTTCCTCCGGTTACAAGAAAACACCCTGTACACGTGAGGCCTGTGTCCACCTCCCCACCTTGCCACATACCCTTCTCCCCGCTTCTCCATGCTGCAGCCACAACGACCCTTTCTGCTTTTGAACATTCAGCCTAGGGGCCACATGAAATCTGCCTGCAGCTCAAGCATTCTTCCCCCAGATCCTTCCAGGCTGAGCTCCTGCATACCACTTCAGTCTCACCTTAAATGTCACCTCCTCATAGAGATATCCAGTCCCTCTTTGGGAATTCACATGTTTATTGCTCAGCATCAATAGATTTTATTCCTCAGCAGGATGTATCACTTTCTGCATGTTCCTCACTTGCTTATTTGTTCATATCCTTATAAACATCTCATGGGATCACTAAAACATAAGCTCGATTAGAGAAATAACTGGATTATCTTGTTTGCTGCTGTCTTCCCAGTACTTGGGCAATGTCTGACAGCAGGGCGTCACGGACAGTCGCACAATCTGTGCACAGCAAAGGTACCCAAGCTAGGAGGTGACAGCCTGTTCAGTCACACTACATCAGGAAAGGGGCCTTCTAGTTTTCTGCCCAGAAAACATGCCCTTCCCTTTTTTCTTTCTTAACTTGCACATAAGTACTGATAGGCTGGCAATGTTTCTGTTTGATACTCAGTAGGCACTCAATGAACATTCTTAACCAAGGAAAATCAGCTTGAGTCCATTCTGTCTCTGCCACTTACAAATTTTTAAGATTTTGAATAAGTCACTTACCTTTCTCTTTCTTCATATTCTTCCCTAAGGCCATGGCAACCCACTCCAGTATTCTTGCCTGGAGAATCCCATGGACAGAGGAGCCTGGCGAGCTACAGTCCGTGGGGTCACAAAGAGTCAGACACGCCTGAGCGGCACACACACACACACTGAATAGGCTGGCAATGTTCCTGTTTGGAGCTCAGTTGGCACTCAATAAATATTCTTAACCAAGGAAAATCAGCGTGAGTCCGTCCTGTCTCTGCCACTTATGAACTTTAAAACTTTGAACAAGTCACTTACCTTCCTCTTTCTTCATACTCTTCCCTAACAGAGGTACAAGTGAAAGAACATGAAATTATGGTTTCTCATGGCACTTCAAAAAATAGTATACCTATATAAGACATTGTGACATAATCCATATAGACAATATTCTTTTAACGGATCCATGACACCTAAACCTATTATCATTTATTTATTCATTTATATAAAAATTATCTACTATTAAACAAAGAATTGTGTTTGACATTCTTGTAATTTGTTGAATGCAAGCTTAGTGACCTTCTCTGAATTAGGCCCATACATTTACAGTTACAGAAGCTAAGGGGATTGAAAGGACTTTCTGCAAAAGATAACTTTCTTACCTAACTCAGGTTATCAATTTTCTAGTGTAGAATTAAATTTCCTTCCTACACATGTACATTCTGAGGTCCTCTACAAGTTGCCTTTTGCTTATGACATGATAAGTGGCTGCACTTACAGGTATGTATGTGACATATTTATGTCATAGAAGAGGGCTGTGTCTTGTCTTTCTTATCTTGTGTTCTCAATCAAGTTTTTCTTTTCATTTTTTGAGGTAACATTGGGTTTCAATATTATATAAATTTCATGGAGAAACTTAGCTTTATACTGTATGGCAAACAAGAACTGATAGTTTAAAAAAATCCCAAAAGACAAACAAAAAAACAAAAACAAAAACAATGATAGTTCAGAGTGTTCAGTAAGATCTACTGAATAACAACAACTGTGGACACCCAGCCATTTTTACTTTGTGCAAAAGCATCACAGCTCATCAACTCACACATGTTGCATGGCGTCTTCAAATAAAACAAGGTGCATGGTGGCATTGAGTTCATTGTAGTCATCCAGTGCTTCCATAAGAAATGTCTTCAGCACCTCCCAGTCCTTCACTGGCATGTAGCACGGGTCTTGGCCGCCATTAGCAAAATGGCAATAGATGAGGGGCTGTTGAAGCAGCACATGGCTATCTACACCCTGAAGGAGGAGGAAGTGAAAAATACGGTCATGTCAATCTCCAGAAACAACTCCTCTGGAGGCAGAGTGACTGGTACAGGAAAAAGCTTGTAAATCAACCCATGGGTGGATGTCATCTTCCACTGTACAGATCTGGAATCACAGTTGTTTCAGCAAGGTAATCACATACACAATTCATTCACATCCTTATCCCATTTCTGCCCAAAAGCCAATAGTGCCACAGCACATAGTGACCTTTGTAATTCATTTGCTTACTTCAAAGTATTTATTAGCAGTTTCCAGCAGTTTTTTATGAAACAAATCACAGTCCTTTGTGTCTATCAGTTTGTCTCCATAAACACGAGAAGATTCGTGAAGCCACAAGCGTATTAAATCATTTGGACACTTTAAACACGCAGGAGAGGTGAAAAAAATCCCCTAAAAGGCAAGAGGGGAAAAAATTAAAAATTCAGAAGGTGATGACATTCCAAGATAATACTTTCTTTTAACATATTCTTTAACTGCATTCTGAATTTAGCAATTTACTGAGTTACAAGAAAGGTTATAAATAGTATTACGTATCAGTAGTTGTAGTCTCTGATAAGCAACATTTAAACAATCAACTGTACAATAAAAAGGATTAAAGAATGGGTTGCCATTTCCTTCTCCAGGGGATCTTCCCAAAGCAGGGATCGAACCCGGGTCTCCTGCATTGCAGGCAGACACTTTACAGACTGAGCCACCAGGGAAGTCTATTAAAGAATTAACTACCATTATGCCTATTTCCAGGAATGAGATAAGTCTATATTTCAAGAGTCAGCTGAGGAACTAAATATCTGATCTGAGAACGTGTACCTACTGTCTTCAGGGAAATCAGTTCCTAAAACCAGCTAACATGAAAGTCATAGGACAGTAATATACTTTATTCTAAAATCCTGTGGTGTCCTTTAATCTCATTCATTCATTTTACAGATGAAATATATAAGATTCAGAGTCTACTGTCTGAAGGCACACTTTGTGGGTAGTCAAAACATTTTGATTTTCACTTTCTCACAACACTATTCTTCAATATTTTGGATTCATATAGACCCAGTTCTCATGGGGAGAGTCACCATGTTCTGGGCTCTAGGGACAAAACCAAGGGAGCCACAGAGAATTAGCTGTAAAAGGCTAAACAGTTGTTGGGTGGTATTGGGTGTAGCCAACAGACTGGATATAAATGGTGAGCAGAGAGGTCTCTTAATTCTTGGCCTCCCTTCCCTCCTATGGTCAAAAATCTGCTTTTAAAGACCATTTAACTGAGCACAATCTTTCAGGCAGGTGCAAGAGAGATCGAGATGCAAAGGAATGTCCACACTCAGAAAAAGCTTTTGCCTAACGTGGTTACAGTTTTGAGGCAGCTGTGGAGTGATTTAGAAAGCAGGGTTATAAAAGTATAAGAAATAAAAATCACCAAATACAGAGAAGTCTCATGAAGTTTTCATATCCCACCAGTTTACTACTTCTGTCACAAATGAACTTTGAGCCATAAATAATTCTTCAGTTACTTTTACTCTACTGATCAGGCCATGTAAGTTGGATATTTTCAAAATTTCAAGGTTTTGAATTCTCTCTTTGGAACTTTATTTTCAAATCATATACATTCACACTGTCTATGTCAAATCATATACATTAACTGTGAGTTAAGTGTTAATGCCAAACCAAAATAAGAATTTAAGAAATTATAATTTCTCTTGATGTATGTTTAAAAATTTATCACATAAATATTAAAAAATGAAAATTATCCATTTTACTTGCACAAAATGAGACACTCAAATATTTATATGGAATCAATGAAATAGGGAGCCAAGATTTCCACCTTAGCTTCTATTGCTAAGTCTCCACCAACCTAAGAGGAATTGCTATTTTCATTGACAAAATGGGATTAATAAACCAGCCATAATTCATAAAGCTTATTACAGAAAATGAAAGAATGCATGCTCAAGTATGCAGCATAGTTTTAGACTAAGTTCTATGAATGAAGCCCATTGATATTATTATAATCAGTGCCCCACTCAAGACACATAACACAGTCATTGAGGTACCTGGAAGACGTTTGACAAGTCTCTCAAATTAAAGAGGTAGTGGAATTTAATGGCCGTGGGTAAAAAAGTATGTGCCATCATCTGATGGAATGCAATTGTTGCCTGTATCAAAGTGGGGCCAGTCCTGAGAACTGAGGGACCAAACGCTTGCTGCTGGAAATGGAAACGCAGGATTTGGCTGTAGATGGTGTTCAGTGCATCCAGCGATGGAAAGTTGACTGCAAACACTGTGAAATGTCTCTGAAAACAAAAACAAATATGAGAGTTGCATAAAATAGAAAATGTAATGGCACCAGTAGATTGGGGCTTCTCTGGGGGCTCAGACGGTAAAGAATCCGTCTGCCAATGAAGGAGACCCAGGTTCAATCCCTGGGCTGGGAAGATCCCCTAGAGAAGGGCATGGCAACCCACTCTAGTATTCTTGCCTGGGAAATCCAATGGACAGAGGACCCTTGCAGGTCATCATCCATGGGGTCACACAGAGTCAGACATGACTGAGCAACTAACACTTTCACTTTTACTTTCCAGGAGATTACCAAAACAGGGAGGGGAACTTTATTTTTCATCTCTTCCTGTATCCATACCCACTGCAATGTAACTTGGTAGTACCTTCCACTCTGGCTCTGAGTGCCCCTATGACTTGAAAAGGCAACAGGAGGAGACAGAAGTAACAGGGCGTCAGTCACTGTCAAAGGTTTGTGTGTTTCCACTAGCTCTCTTAAGGCTCTATCTTTGCAATGAATTCTACACGCCTAACCAAGGATGAGCGACACATGACACAGAGCCATGCTGTCCCAATTACAATCACTCCAGCCAAAGCCACCCTGAGTAGCTGCCAATTTAACTGCCCAACGTGTGAACAAGCTCAGGTTAGGTCAGCAGAGTCACCCAGCTGAGTCTCCACTGACTACACAAAAGCAAGCGAACAACACTGATTGTTGTATGTACAGTGGTTGTGGTGGCGATTATTATTTAAAAACTTACATGCACTCAGAAAACCTGCACATAAGTATTTACTGTAGCTTTATTCCTAACTGCCAAAATCTGGACACAACCATTGCTGTTGTTCATTCACCCAGTCGTGTCTGACTCTTTGGGACCCCATGACCTGGAGCACACTAAGCTTCCCTGTCCTTTACCATACCCCAGGGCTTGCTCAAACTCGTGTCCGTTGAGTTGGTGATGCCATCCAGCCATGTCATCCTCTGTCATCCCTTCTCCTCCTGCCCCCAATCCCTCCTAGCATCAGGGTCTTTTCCAATGAATAAGCTCTTCGCATCAGGTGGCCAAAGTATTGGAGTTTCAGCTTCAGCATCAGACCTTCCAATGAATATTCAGGACTGATTTCCTTTAAGATTGACTGGTTTGATCTCCTTGCAGTCCAGGGGACTCTCAAGAGTCTTCTCCAACACCATAGATTAAAAGCATCAATTCTTTGGTGTTCAGCCTTTTATATGGTCCAACTCACATCCAGACATGACTACTGGGAAAACTACAGGTTTGACTAAACAGACCTTTGTCGAAAAAGTAAAGTAAAAGTAAAGCCTCTGTTTTTTAATATCCTGCCTAAGTTTGTCATAGCTTTTCTTCCAAGAGGCAAGCATCTTTTAATTTCACCACCCACAGTAATTTTGGAGCTCTTTATTTTGAAGAAAATAAAGTCTGTCACTGTTTCCCCATATATTTGTCATGAAGTGATGGGACCAGATGCTATGATCTTAGTTTTTTGAATGTTGAGTTTTAAGCCAGCTTTGTCACTCCCATCTTTCACTTTCATCAAGAGGTTCTTTAGTTCCTCTTCACTTTCTGCCATAAGGGTGGTGTCATCTGCATATCTGAGGTTATTGATATTTCTCCTGGCAATCTTGATTCCAGCTTGTGCTTCATCCAGCCCTGTATTTCACATGATATCCTCTGCATATAAGTTAAATAAGCAGGGTGACAATATATAGCCTTGATGTACTCCTTTCCCAATTTGGAATCAGTCTGTAGCTCCATGTTCATTTCTAACTGTTGCTTCTTGAGCTGCATATAGGTTTGTCAGGAGGCAGGTAAGGTGGTCTGCTTTTCCCATCTCTTGAAGAATTTTCCACAATTTATTGTGATCCAAATAGTCAAAGGTTTTAGCATAGTCAATGAAGCAGATGTTTTTCTGGATTTCTCTTGCTTTTTATGTGATCCAATAATTGTTGGCAATTTGATCTCTGGTTCCTCTACCTTTTCTAAATGCAGGTTGTACATCTGGAAGCTCTCGGTTCACATACTGTTGAAACCTAGCTTGGAGGATTTTGAGCACTACTTTGCTAGCATGTGAAATGAGTGCAATTGTGCAGTAGTTTGAACATTCTTTGGCACTGCCCTTCTTTGAGACTGGAATGAAAACTGACCTTTTCTACTCCTGTGGCCACTGCTGAGCTTTTCAAATTTGCTGGCATATTGAGTGCAGCACTTTAGAATTTGAAATAGATCAGCTGGAATTCCATCATCTCCACTAGCTTTGCTCATAGCTATGCTTCCTAAGGCCCACTTGACTTAGCACTCCAGGATGTCTGGCTATAGGTGAGTAATCACACCATCGTGGTTTCCAGGTTATTATGATCTTTTTTGTACAGTTCTTCTATGTGTTCTTGCCACCTCTTCTTAATACCTTCTGCTTAAAGCATCCTTAAATAAGTAAAAGGATAAACAAACTAGGAACATCCAGAAAATGAGTATTATTCAGTGATAAAAATAAATGAGCTATCAAGACATGAAAAGCCACGGAAGAACCTTAAATGCGTATTTAAGCTAATGGAAAGAAGCCAGTCTGAAGAGGCTACATACTATATGATTGTAACTACAGGACACAACGGAAAAGGCAACAATATAGAGACAGGAAAAGGATGAATGGTGGCCAGGGATTTGGGGGTAGGGAGGGCTGACCAGGTGGAGCACAGTGGATTTTTAGGATAGTGAACCATTCTGTGTGATACTTTAATAACAGATGCCTGTAATTACACATTTGCCAAAAGCCACAGGATATGTAACACAAAAAATGAACCCTGACATAAACTTTACACTTAATAATAATTTATAAATATTGGCTCATCAGTTGTAGTAGAGGCAGCACACTACTGCAAGGTGTTTGTAGATGAGTTACAGGGTGTGAGGGAATATATGGGAACTCAGCTCATTATTCTGTAAACCAAAAACTGCCTTAAAAATTCTTTTAATTAAAATAAGCTCCCATGCTTCACCAAATGTCCAGCAGAACCATAATCCTAATCTTTACCCCCAAAGCACTAAGAATCAAGACCGACGACGTGTGAGTATGACATTCAGGGCTGTCGGGCGGGAAGCAGCACTTGACACGCTACCTGTAGTCTAGGGCTGATGGTGACACTGCCCACCGTGGGGTTCATGCAGGCAACATATTGACAGCTGTGGATTTCTTTAAGCATCACTTTCTGTCTGTCATACCTGCAAGACAGAAAACAGAATCTTAAATCCCAAAGTTCAAAATAACAACAAATCCCACCAGTTCATAAAGGACTTCATCATAAATTGTTTTCTTTGATATTTACGATCACTCTGTGATGTTGAACTATGTTAGCCTACCTGAGAGATAAAAACTAAAGCTTGGAAAACTGAAGACTACAAGGCTCCTATGATGCCAAAATTAACACATGGAGCTAAATCAATAGGTATGGTTGCTGCTTATTAATTCTCTTGAATATGGTTAAAAATACCCACAGCGAGACCAGGGGCTTTCCCCCACTTAACATCAGGACTGCAACTGTGATGCCCAGACATTACCAGATGTTTACATCTTACAGAAAACGTCAAGCTTCTCCTAAGTAACTTGAGTGTGAGTTAATGTACTAAGGAGTTAAGCTTTAACTGGACAGTTTACGTTTCTAAGATACTTTTCAATCCAATTCTTCCAACGATGCAAAGAAAATCTATTCCATTTAAGATGAGCAAAAGGGGAAGCAAACTGAAACCCAAAAAGTATCACAGAAGATGCTCCTAAGAAGAGGAAGAAACTGGGGTGATTCTATTTAAAAATTTTTATCCATAGTAATAACAATTAGATTTCAGTAGAAAATGAAACACAGAGAATCACTTACCAGTGTCCATAATCAATATGCTGCCGAATCAGAGTGTGGGGCTGGACAGTGCCATATGAGTCCACTGCAGGCATATTCATGTCGTCAATAAAATAAACCAACTTTTTATTCCCTCCTGGACCATAGTTACGACCAGCTTTCTTCTCCAGAGGTTTCTCAAGAATTCCTGAAACCAATACATAACTCTGTCCACCAATCAAATAAAAATGTAAACTTCTGTTTAGTCCTTTTTTCTCATTTTTCCTCATCCTCTGCCCATTTCATCCACTCTGTGGCTTTGAGTATCACCTCTCTGCAGGTTAGTCCCAGAAACATGTCTCTGTTCACCTTCTTCTATGTAAGACGCTGCTGGAGCTCATCCTGACTCCTTTCTCAGAGTCCACAGCTACAGCAGGAGAGCATGTTGGCCATCACATCTGAGACAACACCTGAGCTGCTGACCTTCACACCTTCTTCCCCTGTATTTACCGTTATTCATGAACCACTGCTGGTCCACTCAGAACCCGTCAAAAAGTCCTTCTTTATCTTCCTTGTACTAGAGTCTAGGGACAGTCAGGAATTTCTCACATCTCCCTTCCGGGGCCACGGGGTACATAAGAGGATACTATATGCAGGTATTCTCCTGTGTATACATCAAGTTACATTTCTTCACTTGCCTATCTGACTTTGTGTCGACATGTTTGAGAAGAAATCACAAATATAGAAAATCTTGTCAGTATGGACCTGAGACGCAGTATCTAGTCACTTGCCTATTCTCTAAAGGAACTATCAATAGCTTGAGGACAAGAACTCTGTCATGCTCATTTCTGTATGCCTCATAACACCTACAGTAAGTAACTTGTTAAATGAAAACAGGAATGAAGTTAAAAAATATATGACAGATTAGTTAACAAACCCTTCTTCCGAGCAGCATATCTGCATTTCCAAATGGTTGCTGAACATCAGTTCCTGTTAGCCATTGACAACTGTATGTATGACCAACATCAAATATGCCTGTTCCCAAACTCAATTTTACATGCCTCTTCCCCACTCACAACCCATCACTTCTTTTTAGCCTTTTGTGCTCCTACCAACAGGATTAACACTTGCCCAATTAGCTAGACGCAGAGCCTGAATTTAATCTTTCCTTCCTGGTCCCTGATTTGTTCAAGCACAGCCTGTAAATGGTACCTCATGTCTCCTCCTTCTGTCTTTCCCTCTAAAGCCCTAGTCCAGGGTAGCATTTCATTCAGCTAACATATTGCTCAAGGAGACTGGTCTCTCCACCACAGACTTCTCCTCTTAAAGTAGAGCCTGTTGTTTTTGTGATTCAGTCGCTAAGTCATGTCCAAATCTTTTGCAAACCCATGAACTGTAGGGTCAGACTCCTCTGTCCATGGAAGTTTCCAGGCAAGAATATTGGAGTGGGTTGCCATTTCCTTCTCCAGGGGATCTTCCCAACCCAGGGATAAAACCTGGGTCTCCTGCATTGCAGGCAGATTCTTTACCACTGAGCCACCAGGAAAGCCCAAAGTAGAGCCTGCATCTTGTCAACTCCTTGCTCCCCATCAATGGCTCACCACTGCCTACCATGTGAAATATGTTCTTTTCTACTTGCACGTTAGCTACCATCTCAGTGACCACCATCCCTGGTTGCCTGGGATGATCCCAGTTATAGCACTCAAAGTCCCTTATCTCAGAAACCTTCCCAGTCTTCAGCAAACTAGACAACTGGGCATTCCACCTATAACTCCAGCCTGCCACTCCATCCTTTGCCCTATCTTCTACCTGATTACTATGCTTCGATCAACTTAGAGATTCAATTAAATGAATGTGTCCCACAAATTCCTCTTTCATATCTTTGCTTAAGCTTATTCTTCTAGCCTAAGTTCCCTTTTGCCTGTACACCATCCCATCTCAAAGGTCTGAAATCCTTTCTTTAGAGTACACTAGCTCTTTCTATTCCTCATGCTAATAGGCAATGTCTAAATCTATTCATGCTTGTAACCCTTCCAAGAATCAGCAAGCTGAACTTCGTTCAACTATTGAATTGCAGCCCTAATCTTCCATTTACAAGTGATAAAGTGATCCCTTCTTCTGTGTCCACAATGAAAAGCGTGTATTATACACAGTGTCTGGGGATAAAGTATATAAATGAAACATGTTTGCTAAAGAAATGAATGAAAACCTTCCAGGTCAGTTTTTTAACTGTTCCACTCACAAAGATGAGGAAGACAAACTTGATTAAGAAAGAGATTACAGCACAATCATTCCTGGGTGAGTTAATGATTTAAGTGATAAGAAAACAGGTTGTTAATCTCTACTGATAGGGCCAAAAAAACAGCAACAACGCACACAACAAAGAAACCATGTTCAGGGCAACAGGTTTCATAAAGCAGTGGACAGCAGGAACTTCTGCTGCCCTCACATGACACAACCCCACTGCTCTGCTGAACAATGACAGACACTGCTCCCAGATCTTTATATTTGTTCTTCTCTACTTCTCACGTCTGCTCTTGTTTGCCCTTCCAAACTCAAAATGCCCCAAATCTATGTGGTTCTTTCGATTACACTGATGCATGTACTAAACAGTGAAAAATTATCCTTACAGTTCTAAGATTTAACTAACAACTGGTGGCCCATCATTTCATCAATACGGTCTGCGGTCTGAATGCACTGCTCACTAAAGCAATCCCTAGCTTGCAGAGGTAACAGTACACTCTTTCTTGAGCATATTCTTTTGTTGCTAGGGCTCCATGAAATTGACCAAAGCTAACCAAATGGTTTAGAGGCAAAGCAATGGAACTGTTGATGTAAATTCTTTCTATTCTATAGAGTAATAACCCAAGTAAAGCCAGGAGTGATATAAAAAGCCAAAATAACAATATTTAAACAAAGTATATTCAGTCAGAATGGTGAAAAACAAAAATTCACTCTAAGCAAAATGTCTAAGAAAAAGGGATCATCTCTTTGGGCTGCAAGTCCTGGCCCTGATAGCATCTGACCTTGTTTCTGGAGTATAAAAGAGGAACACTTACGCTGCAGTGCTGCAGATGTTGTGTAGTAGTTGAAAGGCACACGGGATACTATATAAGCCTCAGACAGACCTGCCAGCACGTCACCTACAAAGACTGTTTTTCCTACTCCAGCGTTTCCTACCAGCATCAACGGCTGTCCTTTCTCGAGCAGCAACTCCACGAAATAGCGAAGACGAGTTGTCTCTGATGTGTGAACCAGAGCTCTCTGGTGGGGAAAAACAGACAAAAGTTTGTACCTACACCAACATATAGTCATTTTAGAACTGAGACCAAATGCATTCTTAGTTCTAGTTGACAGATAGTAGGAGAGATCCCACTTAATTTTTCATTTTGAATGGTCAGTTCAGACACCATAGCTTGAGAAAAGAAACTGGGTAGCATTGTCAAAATGGCATAGCAGAAGGAGCTGATTTATTTTTTCTCATTAGGAGCTAGCACCCAAGGCTTCCTATCATGGAAATACCTATACTCTGCCTAACCTTGGGTTAGGCATATAAAGGAATACAGTGAATGCTTAAGAAACTGCCCACCACTCTTTAGGACATGATGGAACATGTGAAAAGGCCAAGATATGTACAAACAAAAATGGGTAGCAATTCCCTCACCGAGTAAGATTAATGATTCATGTGCAAAATGATTAGGCACAATTCACTCTAAAGGAGTTCAGTGCAAGAAGAGACCAGCTTGCCAGAAACAAACGTTAAGTGAAATAGTCACAAGTCCAAAGCACGAGTGATACTTACTGTAAACTGTTCTGTTTAAAACTTTTATAGCAATGCTTCTGTTGTGAAAATTAATTATTTAGATACTACATTGTTTGACGAAAAAACTGAGATGGCTTACAGAAATACAATAAAAAGAATACAAATAAATAAAAAGCTGACTGCGGGAACAGAAATTAATACAGTGTAAGGTCAGGGAAGGGGAAGCAGATGCAGACACACTGGAAAGAGAAGTGGTGGTTAAAGAGAGCTGAAAATGTCTTACGTTTGGCAGGGGGCAAATTAAACAGGGGATTAAAAAAAGCTGTTTGCAGGATTTATATAGCTCATAAGAAAAACACACAAACTCTGTAATGGATAAAGTTCTTCCCTGCATGGTTCACATACACTGACCACAGATCACTATTTTATAGATCATTCAAGATCAAATTCATGATAATGAGGATTCATTTTAGAACTTCACCTGAATTCAGTGCTCCTCTCAGGACCTGTTGAAAGACACAGACTCTGTTGTGCTACATTGAACAGTCCCAGATGACTTTGAAATCACCGTTGAATTCTGGAACATGTTTTTTTCCTTTCTTGTTGCTGGTTGTCACGTTTGCCATTTAATTGGCTATTAATATTGGCTCTTTTATCCACACATTAATATCGATAATTAATACCTACTGAGAGCTGAGTATGTGAGAGGTAGTATGCTGAGACCTTTACATGTATTACATCATATGATGCTCATAACAAACCTAGGAGGAGAGTTTTGTTATGATTTACATTTCAGAGATGATGGAGCTAAAGTTTAGAGAACATTAATAAATTGGCCAGAGGCATACGTGGTGGTACTTGGATTTAAACCCAAAGCTGTCTCGAGCCTGAGTCCTGTCTTACCTACTGCACAGAATGCTCTTCAGAGCACAGACCATACACACGTTAGCTGATGTCTAAGTACTCCATTTCTCCATATATAAAAAGGCTAGTAACAGTCCTTTCTAACAGGGAATTAGAAGACTGTCATAAGGATTAAATTAATCTATGGAAACAAAGCATTTAGAAAAGGGACTGACATATTATAATGTCATGTTACTATTTGCTATTATTATTGACTCAATGTGGTTTTCCTCTAACATGTTAAGAGGCTTTTAATCAAAACCACATTTGGTGCAATTGTGTATAAAGTAAGACTAGGAGGTCCTGACAGGTTCTCCGTTGAATAAAATATATCCCTGATAAGATGCATCAACCTTGTGATATCACTTTTTGTGTGTTTCTTTTGGTTAACTACAAGTCCTCGGCTCTCAGCCAGCTAGATAATATTGTTAGGTGGCTGAAGTCTAGACAGGCTGAGCTAAAACAGAGATGTTAAAATCTATAAAGTGGATGGAGCAGACCTTCATAATTAAGGTAACCTCATCACCTGGGCCTGAGACTAGGGTAGGGGTGGCACATGGCCCCTGGAAAAATGGATGCAGAAGGAAGTCTGCTCTGAGGCTTCTGGAAAAAGTTTCTGCTCACTTAGTAAAAAATACAGAAGCCTTCTTTCTCCATGTCTTGCTTCCTTTTAACTCCGGGGACTTTTAGAGTCATCTTGGACTGAGGAGATACCATTCTTTAAACAAGGCCAGTGCTAAAGCAGGAAGATCCGAGTCTGTGGTGTTATCACCAAGTCAGAGAACTCATCAGTCTCAGGGCCTTCCTACCTCTGAGTTTCTTGTTTGTGAAATGATGAGTCCCTCATGGTTATAGGATGAACTATATCCTCTCAAAATTCAACTATGGAAGCTCTAACCCCAGTATCTCAGAATTGTGACTGTATCTGGAGAGAGGTCTTTAAAGAGATGATTAAGTGAGGCTGAGCGTGGGACCTAATCCAATCTGACTGGTGTTCTTGTCCAAGGAGGAAATTTGAACACACTTCAAGATGGTGTGCAGGGAATGTGTGTCCACACAGAAAGGATCATAGTGGGACACAGCAAGGGGGGACCATCTACAAGCCAAGGACAGAGGCCTCAGGGAAAAGCAAATCTTAGCCTCTCAGGCTGTGAGAAAAATTAATTTCTGACATTTAAGCCACTCACTCTATGGCAGTTTGTTAGGGTGTCTTAAGCACGCTAATACAAGCAGAGTGGGCCCCAAAGTCAAAGTGACTGGTAGAAAGGAAAATGTGAATACACAGAATACACATGGAAAAATGCCATCACGTGAAGATCTGACCAATGCCGCCTCAGAGGAAGGACCAAGACTGCCAGTGAACCTCCAGAATCTAGGAGAGAGTCCTCAGAAGGAACCGACCCTGTTAACACCTCCATTTTCAGCTTCTAGCCTCCAAAACTGTGAGACGACACATTTCTGTAGTTGAAGCCACCACGTCTGTGGTGCTTTGTTCCCTCAATTCCAGGAAACTCATACATCGCCTTTTCTTTTATTTCACAATAACTGCCTCCTGATTAGTGTGGCAATCACCTATATGCATTTTGTAGGGCACGACTTGAAATAATAAGTTCCAAGGCCAATCAATATGAGGTGATTTTGAGAAAGAAATATAATGAAAAGCAAAACAGAGTGAAGAAGAATTAGAAAATGGTTAAAAGATAACTTGATACATAAAAAATGTAGGACAATTTATAAAAAGAAACAGTTAAAAAAAACAATAAAGATTCACTTAGATTTGTGAGTTGCCCTGTGACATTGAGATATACATCTTTGAGTAGGAAGATGAGACATTCCTTTTATGGCTTCAGGGGTAAAGGAAACAAGTTCTATGTGAAAAGTACTGATTAAGAAATGCAGAGTAAGGTCAGAAATAAGACTCGCTGAACCTCACTGAACTAATAAAAACATGCCTCCAATTTTTATAAAATCACACAATTTCTAGGAAAATCTAAAGAAAGCTGTTACCACAGAATTAAGTTGCAAAGAAAAAAAGAAACTGTAGAAATATAACCATCTTCCCAGTCGTTCCTATAACAGATTCTTCTTTCCAAGGAAATACATTATATGCTGACCTTACCAACAGGAATTCATTGATCAGGCAGGAAAAGTAAGACTGCATAAAAACAAACGAGGCTCAAGCCAGCATCACATGGTTGAAGATCGCTATGTTCCCCACACCTACCTGCAAAGGTATTTCTGGATCCATAGTAAATTGGGGGATTTTTTCGGCCCAAGGCAAAAATTTCTTACTTCTGTGGTCCAGATAATAATCAAAAATTGTTCCCTGGGATGGAAACTTCACTGCTTTCATCTCTTTATGCCACCACTGACTGAATTCAGCTTGACAACCAGAAAGCTAAGGAGAACAAGAGAAATTCTTATTGCAGACTTACAGGTAATTTTGAACACATACAAAGCCACTGCAAGTGCAGCTGATCACACAGTGTTTTCAGCGAATAGTTCATAATTACAAACAGGACTGAATAACTGACAAAAGAAAAATAAATAACTAGAAGGAAGTTATAATGAGTGACAATACCATTGAGGCTGAAAGCTATAACAGCCATACGTCCATCAGGTACAAATTTTCGGCAGTAATTATTAACTTAAAAAGCAAGGTAAGTTTAGGTGAACCTTAGATGACTCTGAGGTTATTCAATTTAATAACAAGCTATCACACAAGTCACCCTGCTATAAGATAGTGGTTAGCAAACACTAGTGTTTATTTATACCAATGTTTTGCTCAGTTGATAGTAAAATGGGGAAAGTAGGAACAAACGAATACTTCAAAAAATCAGTAACATTATTGACTTAGACACTGTTCTTTATTTGAGCTTATAGCCTTCCTAGAACTGTTGGTGTTAAAAATATCCTTTCCTTTATAAAGCTGTGGTGATAATAAATGGTCATTTAAAAATAAACGCCCTTATTTAGAAAAACAAACAGTTGGTAACCCTATTTCATTTCTTCAGATCATTAATGAAATTTTGTTGGTCTCTGAAATTTGAAATCTGAGCAGCTCTACCATGAGAGAAGGGAAAGAACGGACTTGGTTTTCTAGCACAGCACAACTGGGTAGTTGAGCTGAAACTCCACAGATTCCTGTCCTGTAAGAGAATCTTCCAGAGACGATAACGGAGGAGGAAACACGCTCTCCTTGCTGAAAGGTGCTTGTTTTTATATGACGGCAGGTACAAGCCCTTTGCTGCTAGATTAGTGGTTAGAAAATGGAGATGGGGAAATTCCAATTGTGTACTACCAACTAACAACCCCTCCTACGGGATGACCTGACAAAGCTTCGGAGCACTCTAAAAACACTGTGTGTGTTCACCACATTCACCAACCTTCAGTTCAGTTCAGTCGCTCAGTCGTGTCGACTCTTTGCGACCCCATGAATCGCAGCATGCCAGGCCTCCCTGTCCATCACCAACTCCTGTCACCAACCTTACATGTATCTAAAACTTTAACTCCCATTTTGCTCCAGGGAAATTCTTTTTTTTTTTTTTTTTTTGCTGGGAGAAGTATCAATAACTTTATTTTTTTTTTTATTATTTATTTATTTATTTTTTATCACAACCATAGTGTATCTTTTTTTTTTTTACATGTATTCCCCATCCCGGTCCCCCCTCCCACCTCCCTCTCCACCCAATCCCTCTGGGTCTTCCCAGTGCACCAGGCCCGAGCACTTGTCTCATGCACCCAACCTGGGCTGGTGAACTGTTTCACCCTAGATAATATACGTGTTTCAATGCTGTTCTCTTGAAACATCCCACCCTCGCCTTCTCCCAGAGTCCACAAGTCTGTTCTATACATAGGAGTCTCTTTTTCTGTTTTGCACATAGGGTTATCGTTACCATCTTTCTAAATTCCATATATATGTGTTAGTATACTGTAATGGTCTTTATCTTTCTGGCTTACTTCGCTCTGTATAATGGGCTCCAGTTTCATCCATCTCATTAGAACTGATTCAAATGAATTCTTTTTAATGGCTGAGTAATATTCCATGGTATATATCAATCTGCCTGACTTCAGACTATACTACAAAGCCACAGTCATCAAGACAGTATGGTACTGGCACAAAGACAGAAATATAGATCAATGGAACAGAATAGAAAGCCCAGAGATAAATCCACGAACCTATGGTCACCTTATCTTTGACAGAGGAGGCAAAGATATACAATGGAAAAAAGACAACCTCTTTAACAAGTGGTGCTGGGAAAACTGGTCAACCACCTGTAAAAGAATGAAACTAGAACACTTTCTAACACCATACACAAAAATAAACTCAAGATGGATTAAAGATCTAAATGTAAGACCAGAAACTATAAAACTCCTAGAGGAGAACATAGGCAAAACACTCTCCGACATAAATCACAGCAGGATCCTCTATGACCCACATCCCAGAATTTTAGAAATAAAAGCAAAAATAAACAAATGGGACCTAATGAAACTTAAAAGCTTTTGCACAACAAAGGAAACTATAAGCAAGGTGAAAAGACAGCCCTCAGATTGGGAGAAAATAATAGCAAACGAAGCAACAGACAAAGGATTAATCTCAAAAATATACAAGCAACTCCTCCAGCTCAACTCCAGAAAAATAAATGACCCAATCAAAAAATGGGCCAAAGAACTGAACAGACATTTCTCCAAGGAAGACATACAGATGGCTAACAAACACATGAAAAGATGCTCAGCATCACTCATTATCAGAGAAATGCAAATCAAAACCACAATGAGGTACCATTACACACCAGTCAGGATGGCTGCTATCCAAAAGTCTACAAGCAATAAATGCTGGAGAGGGTGTGGAGAAAAGGGAACCCTCTTACACTGTTGGTGGGAATGCAAATTAGTACAGCCACTATGGAAAACAGTGTGGAGATTTCTTAAAAAGCTGGAAATAGAACTGCCATATGACCCAGCAATCCCACTTCTGGGCATACACACCGAGGAAACCAGATCTGAAAGAGACACGTGTACCCCAATGTTCATCGCAGCACTGTTTATAATAGCCAGGACATGGAAGCAACCTAGATGCCCATCAGCAGACGAATGGATGAGGAAGCTGTGGTACATATACACCAGGGAAATTCTTAAAGTTACTTTTACTTTGGTGTCCTTATGTCCATGGACTACGGCCCACTTTCTGTGTGAGGCTGACCAGACACATGAGTAGAGATGGATAGGATGGCTGGAGGGTAGGAGGGTGTGGTTAGGGCTGAGAGGTGTGGTCAGCCTTAGCAGGGAGAGCTGATCCCACCAACCTTCCCAACAAGGGGAGCTCATATTCCTACAGACCACTACCCCCATTATTTATATCCTTTTCAGTTATCTTCAGACTGGTGTCGCAGGATATTTTCTTTTTAATCATCCTATAGAAGTTGGTCAGAAACCAAGTTCATTCAAAAAATATTCCTCATCTGGTACCATTTTTTGTTTGCAGGATGCACATCAGATTTCTACTGTGCAATAAAATTTGCTTCACTTAAACCATGTCAGCAGAGTCATTTTGATGACAAGTCTTTGATCATTCATTCACTCACTAAAATGCATTTGTTCTCATAGTGGGGAGGAAAACAAACAGGGTTTCTGCCCTCACAGAGCTTATGGGGGAAATGAAGGGGAAGTATGGTGGAAGCAGAGGTGACGTTTATGAACACAGAAATAAATAAATTGGTATCTTGAAAGCCAACTTTGCTGGAAGGGAGAGAAATGAGGGCATCTATTTTAACTGGATGTGCAGGGAACCATCTCTGAGAACAGGCACTAATTAGGGAGCAGAACATTCCAGGAAGAAGTCAACAAGTGCACAGATCTTATCATATGAAAGAACCTGCATTCCAGAAACTGGTCAGTACAGCTGGAGGGGAGGGAGCGGCTGAAGAAAAAGTAGGGAGAGATAGTCTGGGCCAAAGCCAAAGGCCTTGTAAATGAAATTTTAAAATTTTATCTTAAAAGCAATAGGAATTTATTAAAGTGTTGTAAATTTTGGAGTGCATCATATAATCCAATTTACATTAAAGAAACCACTCTGGCTGCTGAGCTCATAATGGATGATGGGACAAGTACAGAAGCAGAAAGACCAGTGAGGAGATTTACTTCAGAAGTCAAGTGGGGAATGATAGCAGCTGTTTATAGGAGGCTCAGGGAGGGATGACTGGGACCAATTTTGGAAGGTGTTTGCAACAGCCGGGGTTAAGAACACAGGTCTGAGTCAGTCAGCTGCAGTCTGAACTTGCCTCAGACATTAGCTAGCCATGGGTCTCCAAGAAGGCTAACTTATCTAAGTTTCAGTTCCTTTTTTGGAAAAGAAGAAGAATAGCTATAACTATATAGACAGGATATATAAATATATTTTTTAAGATTCAACAAGCTAGCCTATTAGAAGCCCTAAACTCTTTCCCTGACATATTAGGCATATTAGACATATTCAGAGTAGGCACCCAAATCTGATGACTAAATGGCTATTCCTGAGACTATTTCTTGGATCTGCTTCATTCATGTTTCCAACTTCATAATCTCTCATTTGAATGCTGTGTAGTTAAAGCACTTTTGAAAATTTAAAGATGATGTCGAATACTAATTGGGGAGAGTATCTGGGACAGGAAGGGGACCACGTGATGCTCAGCTCCTGGTTTGACTAGCTGTCTTGGAAGGCTGCCAAGTCTGGAAATTGCAAAGATGAAAAGAAGGTCAAGTTGGGAGGCAGGTAAGCCGTCATGATGAGGAGCAGAAAAATCTCAGCTGTCAACATCTTTCTCATGCAATTTTACTTGGTTGTACAGCCCTGGAAAAGGAAACACTCTGTGGAGAACATTGGAAAAAAGACAAAAGTCATGAGGTTTTGGGGTAGACATGAATACTCTGCATGTGGCCTCCATGGAGAGGAATCCATATGTGTAAATTTTGCCTTTGAGATAAACCATGTGAAGCCACACAACACTCTTAACTCGGGCAAGAGAGGCTATTCTTTAGAAAAAGCACTTGGAGATTACTGAAGAAATGTGGGTTCTGAGAAGGGTCAAAATGAGACTTAGGAGGCCAAGTGAATGCCAAATTCATTTACAGATATAAAGTACAGTAACTAAGTGACAAGTAGCAGAACTGGCCCAGAGGTCATAGCAACCATGGATTTTAGAACCTACTGTGACTAAACCAACAAATTTGGGTTACTCTTGGCTATAATAACTTCTGGTTTTAATTCCCAAACATGGTCCACTGGAGAAGGGAATGGCAAACCACTTCAGCATTCTTACCTTGAGAACCCCATGAACAGCAAGGAAAGGTAAAAAGATAGGACACTGAAAGATGAATTCTCCAAGCTGTTAGGTGTCCAACATGCTACTGGAGAAGAGCGGAGAAAAAGCTTCAGAAGAAATGAAGAGGCAGAAGCAAAAGGGAAACAATACCCAGTTGTGGATGTGACTGGAGGTAAAAGTAAAATATTGTAAAGAGCAATATTGCATAGGAACCTGGAATGTTAGGTCCATGAATCAAGGCAAATTGGAAGTAGCCAAACAGGAGATGGCAGGAGTGAACGTTGACATTCTAGAAATCAGCGAACTAAAATGGACAGAAATGGGTGAATTGAACTCAGATGACCATTATATCTACTACTGTGGACAAGAATGGAGTAACCCTCATGGTCAACAAAACACTCCGAAATTGTTTCCAAGGCAAACCATTCAACATCACAGTAATATAAGTCTATGCCCCAACCAGTAATGCTGAAGAAGATGAAGTTGAACAGTTCTCTGAAAATCTACAAGACATTCTGGAACTAACTGTAAAAAAAAAAAAAAAATGTCCTTTTCATCAGAGAGGGCTGGAATGAAAAAGTATGAAGTCAAGAGATATTTGGAGTAACAGGCAAGTTTAGCCTTGGAGTACAAGATGAAGCAGGGCAAAGGCTAACAGAGTTTTGCCAAGAGAACGCACTGGTCATAGCAGACACCCTCTTCCAACAACACAAGGGACACCTCTACACATGGACACTACCATGTGTAATGTCAATTACACAATACTTAATATTGTCAATATTACGTCAATACTGAAATCAGATTGGTTATATTCTTTGTAGCCGAAGATGGAGAAGCTCTACACAGTCAGCAAAAACATGACCGGGAGCTGTGTGTAGCTCAGATCATGAACTCCTTATTGCAAAACCCAGACCACTAGGCAATTTAGGTATGACCTAAATCAAATCCCTTATGATTATACAGTGAAAGTGATAAATATTTTCAAGGGATTAGATCTTACAAAGAGCTAAAGAACTATGCATAGAGGTTCAAAACACTGTATAGGAGGTGATGATCAAAACCATCCCCAAGAAAAAGAAATGCAAAAAGGCAACACTGTTGTCTGAGGAGACCTTAGAAATAGCTTAGAAAAGAAGAGAAGCAAAAGGCAACAGAAAAAAGGAAAGATATACCCATGTAAATGCAGAGTTCCAAAGAATAACAAGGAGAGATAAGAAAGCCTTCCTCAGTGATCAGTGCAAAGAAATACAGGAAAACAACAGAATGGAAAAGACCAGAGATATCTTTAAGAAAATTAGAGATACCAAGGCAAAATTTCATGTGAAGATGGGCACAATAAAGGATAGACACAGTATGGACTTAACAGAAGCAGAAGACATTAGGAAGAGGTGGCAAGAATACACAGAAGAACTATACAAAAAAGGTCTTAAAGACCTGGAGAACCACAATGGTGTGGTTACTCACCTAGAGCCAGATATCCTGGAACATGAAGTCAAGTGGGTCTTAGGAAGCTTCACTATGAACAAAGTTATTGGAGGTGATAGAATTCCAGCTGAGCTATTTTAATTTCTAAAAGATGATGCTGTTACAGTGCTGCACTCAATATGTCAGCACATTTGGAAAAGCCAGCAGTGGCCACAGGATTGGAAAAGGTCAGTTTGCATTCCAATCCCAAAGAAGAACGACGACAAAGAATGTTCAAACTATCATACAATTGCGCTCATTTCACATGCTAGCAAAGTAATGCTCAAAATCCTACAATGGCTAGGCTTCAACAGTATGTGCACCAAGAACTTCCAGATGTACAAGCTGGATTTTAAAAAGGTAGAGGAACCAGAAATTAAATTGCCAACATCAGTTGGATCATTAGAAAAAGCAAGGGAATTTCAGCAAAACATCTACTTCTGCTTCATTGACTATGCTAAAGCCTTTGACTGTGTGGATCACAACAACTGTGGAAAATTCTTATAGGAATACCAGACCACCATACCTACCTCCTTAGAAACCTGTACGCAGCTCAAGAAGCAACAGTTAGAACTGGTCATGGAACAATGGACTGGTTCAAAATTGGGAAAAGAGTACATCAAGGCTGTATATCTTCACCCTGATTATTTAACTTATATGCAGAAGATATCATGCAAAATGCTGGGCTAGATGAAGCACAAGCTGGAATCAAGATTTCTGGGAGAAATATCAATAATCTCAGATATGCAGATAACATCATCCTTATGATGTCTGCTTATGACATCCTTATGATGTCATCCATCTGCTTCTTTGCAGAAAGCAAAGAAGAACTAAAGAGTCTATTGATGAAGGTGAAACAGGAGAGTGAAAAAGCTGGCTAAAACTCAACATTTAAAAAGCTAAGATCATGGCATCTGATCCATCACTTCATGGCAAATAGATGGGGAAAAAATGGAAACAGTGACAAACTTTATTTTCTTTTCCTCCACCATCACTGTGAATGGTGACTGCAGCCATAAAGTTAAAAGCCGTTTGCTCCTTGCAAGAAAAGCTATGAACAGCCAAGATAGCATATTAAAAAGTAGAGCCATTACTTTGCCTACAAAGGTCCATCTAGTCAAAGCTATGGTTTTTCCAGTAGTCATATATGGATGTGAGAGTTGGACCATAAAGAAGACCAAGAGCCAAAAAATTGATTCCTTTGAACTCTGGTGCTGGAGAAGACTCTAGAGAGTTCCTTGGACTACAAGGAGATCCAACCAGTCAATCCGAAAGGAAATCAACTCTGAATACTCATTGGAGGGACTGATGCTGAAGCTGAAACTCCAATACTTTGGCCACCTGGTGGGATGTACTAACTCACTGGAAAAGACCCTGATGCTGGAAAAGATTGAAGGCAGGAGGAGCAGGCAGGAACAGATGATGAGATGGTTGGATGACATGACTGATTCAATGGACATGAGTTTAAGCAGATTCTGGGAGGTGGTAAAGGAGAGGGAGGCCTGGCATGCTGCAGTCCATGGGGTAGCAAAGAGTCAAATGACTGAGTGACTGAACAACAACAATACTTACATCTGGAAATATTTTAGGGAAGCCTGGAAAACTTATGCCATCTATTTTTAACTCAAAGATTCAGGGGTACCCATAGAAGCACTTATGGCCCTGAGAGATCCTGAGGCACCAACGGATGGCCCTTGGAGACAGACATACGTAAGTGGGAATCCAGATATTGCCATCTGCTGTCAGTCAAGTTACTTTGCCTGACTTTTACTTTACCTGCATAGTGATGATACCTTGAATTACTGCAAAGATGACATAAGAAAATCTATTCACAGATGTGCAAAGAAGGGATTGCTGCTGCTGCTGCTGCTAAGTCGCTTCAGTCGTGTCTGACTCTGTGCGACCCCACAGACGGCAGCCCACCAGGCTCCCCTGTCCCTGGGATTCTCCAGGCAAGAATACTGGAGTGGGTTGCCATTTCCTTCTCCAGTGCATGAAAGTGAAAAGTAAAATGAAGTCGCTCACTCATGTCCGACTCTCTGTGACCCCATGGACTGCAGCCCACCAGGCTCCTCTGCCCATGGGATTTTCCAAGCAAGAGTACTGGAGTGGGTTGCCATTGCCTTCTCCGAAAGAAGGGATTAGATGTGTAAATTTCTAAAGGTGAAAAACTCCCACTTTGTACTTTGACAAGTCTAAGCAATTTGTGTGTGTGTGTGTGTGAGTGAGTGAGTGTGTGCATGTGTCTATGCAAGTTCTTAAGTGTTTACCGAAAAGAAATCAGAAGTCACAGACCATGCTAGGAATGTTGTATAGGCATGATAGCCTCGCTTTAGGCCAAAGGAAAGAAAGCAGCCTGGGGTTGATTATAGCTCATGAGGACTACCCTAGGGAATGTGTGAGGCTAGGCAGAAGTAAGAGGAGTAGAGGTCTGGAAACCAATGAGCAGGCTATTATGTGCTATGGATTGAACTGTCGCCTCACCAAAATCATATGCTGCAGCCTTAATCCCCAAAGTGGTAGTATTTGGAGATGGGCCCTTTGGGAGGTATTTATATTGAGATGAGGGCCTGAGGGTGGGTCCCTCATGTTGGGATTAGTGCCTTTACAAGAAAAGACTCAAGAAAGCATTTTATCTTTCTTTCTGCCATGTGAAGACACAGAAAAAGGCATCTGTCTGCAAGGCATGAAGATGCTCCTCACCGGAACTTGACCATGCTGGCACCTTGACCTTGGATTTGTAGCCTCCAGAACTGAGAGAAAGTAAATTTCTGCTGTTTAAGAAGCCAGAGCATGATATTTTGTTACAGCAGCCCGAGCCAAAACAATGTGATAGCTCACAGCAAGCTAAAGCTGATACACTCCTGAATTAAGGCTGTAGGGATACAGACAAGGGGACAGATATGACAGCTACTTTCTATCTGAAAGGAGCTGATGCCCATAGGATGTAGATGTAAGAATGATGTCTCCCAGGTTTTTAACCAGAGCAACTGGGAGAAATGTATCACTGAGGAAGGGGTGAAAGAGGAAGAGCAGAGACACGTGAGGGGCAGGCACACTGAGACACTGCTGGTGTCGACATGGAAACTTGAGCTCAAAAGAGAGATCTGGTGGAAGACTATGGACCTGGCCTTGTCAGCCAAGGATAGCACCACCAGCCTGAATGAGCTTGCCTGACAACGTACAGGCTTAGGAGTGAACACGGCTAGTAGGGTAGCTTTATGATAACTACATACCCAAGAACCCCCAGACTCACAGGGATCACATATAATCATATTCTTCTCCAAATAAAACTGGTTCTGTAAACTATTTCTACACATACCTGATCTTGTAGCAGAGTGCCTCCGAATGCCCAGATACAAGCAAAGACAAAATAGACCTCATAAACTTCCTTTGGGCTGTCAGAAGGTACATTTTCAGGAGTCAATAAACATTCCAGAAGAGTACAAATAGTCTAAAGAAAAACAAAAAGCCATTCTTTCAGTGCAACAGTTTTTTTTTTTTTTTTATAACAGTGAAGAAAGTTCACAGAACTTAGGAATAAATCCTCTGTACCCTTGAGAGATTTTATGATTTTTCCCAGCTCTGTAATGTGCTATCCTGAGACACACAAATGACTGCCTTGGGTTTCTGAGTTGGCAGTGGACAACCTTGGCCACTTTCAACCAAACTTGTCTTCTAGGTAACAACAAACTATCAAAAAAACCCCTATTACCATAAGTTCTTCAATTAGTAATCACTATTATAAAGAGAAGTACACATTAAAAAAAAAAACAAGGGGGATACAGCTGTGCTGTCTTTTTTAAAATAAATAGTGAGTCCTTCTATACGCAGGACTCTGTAACCCACTTTTTCACTTAAAGACAAACTGAAGGCATCTTTCTCTCCAGCACGTGGTGCCCTACAACATCACTGGGGACGCAGGCACTAGGTGGAAAGGATGTATAAGTACTGCCCTCGAGTAGACATTTAGATAACCCACTGCCCCTTCATTCTCTGGCAGCTGCTTCCCCCACCTGTTGTCCTAAATTTAGAAAGTCAGACTGGCTGCCCTTAGCTTGTGGCATTTTTTGGATGTGAGACTAAATCTAACTCTGGAAGAAACGCTATTCAGGAACTTACTCTTCAGAGCCTCCATGTGAAAGGGCTCCACTGGTCTGAAATTCGCTCCGTGTCCAGGGCAATTAGGTCAGCAACAAAGGGAGCATGCCTGCCGCTAAGGCCTTTCTTGTGTAAAATAACCATAATGAACATGTTTTTCGGCTAGCACAAAAATGGTTGCCAGGAATTAGCACTGCCATAGACCCTCAAAAAACTCATGAGGCCCTTCCCCCAGTTTTCGGAGGCAGTGGTAGATGTGTATCAATATCACGCACACAGCAGTGAAAGCTGTTACAAAGCAAGTCCTGTGTGTGTCTCCCTCCCAATCCTGAGAGGCAGGGAAAATGGTAATATGGAAAATTGGTCCTGGCATAATTTGGAAGTGTTTTTGAAAATTTAATTAGTTGAGCACCTGTCACATTTTCATTAGAAAAAAAAAAACTTTATTGGAGGATAGTTGCTTTACAACCTGTCATTTTCTCAATCTCTCTCTTGATCTCCATTATTTTATATTGTGCCATGTTTGCTACTTTAAAATAATCTTCTAATCAAATAAAATTCACCAATTTGTTGTCAAGAAAAACAAGATAAAACTCTGAGGCTTTGTTGTTCCTGAGTAGAAGCCATGTTGGTCTAAGCAACTGGCTTTCATTTCATTTTCATCAAAATGAAAAGGACTGAAGGGTGTCAAAATACCATCCACTGATTTGAACATGCTAATAACAGGTAGGATTTTTCTATTTTCTCCCAAACACAGTACTTAGAAAACAGTTTAAGCTCTGCATCAGCAATTAATATAATCACACTTTTGGTGTATATTCTGAAAGAGTTAAAACACCTTAACAAATGGAAAGCAAGAAAGTTTCATATACTGGAAAACATAGTATATTAATTTCTTAAAGTGGCCTTTTAAAAGTATGAAATAATACTGTTTACAACTACATGGGTGGACCTAGAGATTATTATACTAAGTGAAATTAGACAAAGAAAGGCAAATATATGATATCACTTACATGTGGAATCTAAAATACTACACACATGAACTTATCTATGAAGTAGAGACAGATTCATGGACAGAGAGGGCAGACCTGTGGTTGCCAAGGCGAGGGGGCAGTGAGAAGGATAGATTGGAGTTTGGGATTAGCAGATGCAAACTAGTATATGGATAAACAATAAGGCCCTAATGTATAGCACAGGGTGTGTGTGTGTGTTAATTGCTCAGTCATGTCCAACTCTTTGTGACCCCATGGATTGTAGCCTGTCAGACTCCTCTGTCCATGGAATTCTCCAGGCAAGAATACTGGAATGGGTTGCCATTTCCTTCTCCAGAGGATCTTCCTGACCTAGGGATTGAACCTGGGTCTCCTGCATAGCACACAGATTCTTTACCATCTGAGCCACCACAGAAACCCCACCAGGCTCCTCTGTCCATGGGTTTCTTCAGGCAAGAACACTGGAGTGGGTTGCCATGCCCTCCTCAACTCAATTACAGTAAAAAAAAAATAAAAAATAAAAAATAATATCTTTAAGCAATTCTCTTGTACACTCATTTTTGTCTCTAATTTTTTTCCTTATAAGCAATCACAGCAAAGAGATGACTTTATGCAATAGCAGCCAGAAAGGAGTTAAGGATAAAGTGCCATTTCTGAATACTACAAAAAGAGGAAGTGAGAGCAAAAATCATATTAATTCCCACTGACTTATTTTCACACTACTATTAAATGAAAAAGTTCACACCACAGAGAAACACAAATACACAAGTCAACTTGAGAAAGAACACGATACTTGCTTTTTGCAAGTATTACACCAGAGGAAGTCTAATTAGGCTAACCACATAATTAATTCATTATGAATAAATTCAGACCTGCTTTCAGAAATAAATTATACCTCAGATAATTACTGGTGAAGACTATCGTTTACTTAATTGGTGTGCAAATTATCCAAAAACCTGAACTTTCTCTTCTTATGCTTGTGACTTTCTAATTTAGCTTCAAACAAATTCTATACCATAGTAACTTCACAGTAACAAAGTACTTCAAAACCAATTTTGCTCCTAAAGAGAAACAAATAAAGGTTTCTAATTGTAAACCTTTCATGAAGTTTTATACTTTTAAAGGCTGGGGGATAGTTTTTCTCACACTGAGATTAAGATCACAACCTTCATTTCTGTGTGCCATGCATTATTTTCATTTGCTGTCATGACAATGTATCATACATACTCTTCACTCTTACCAGCTGTCTGACAATATGGATCAGGAAAAAAACCTATCCCTGAAATATTATGAACCCTTCATCTAGACTGACCTGACTTGAGGACTATTCCCGGGAGTGGGGAGTCAAGAAAGGGAGGAAGGAATGGGAGGTCTGTCAGGCCAGGTGGGGTCGGGGTTGGTTGTCCAGGTGATGTTCAGTAGCTTTCTCTTACTCACTGGTCAACATCTTTAATTGCATGAATTTACGGTTTTCAAAAAATACACTGAGCACCTTCTTTGGGCCAGTTGCTTAGGAAACAGAAAAATAAATGAAGCTGTTACAACCCTGCTCTTATTCCATGCAAATATATTTGGGAAAAACACGATGATTCAATAATATATTTGGTGCCTACTATGTGCTTGGCATTATGGAAATCTCTGGAGATATAAAAATGATAAAAGGTGGCTCCAGTCCTCTAGTTCACAGTTTAGTGAGAGAAACAGACTGCAAACCCAAATGGTCAAGGCACGTGACAGACATGTGATAGAGGGTTGCCAAAAGCACTGGGAAACATGGGGGCTGGGGGTGTGTGGAGCAACCTAATCCTTCCAGAAACCACTCCATGATTTTCAACAAGCAAGAACTTCTATTTTGATCAAACCAAATCAGGACTAGTGTGTGAAATAGAGTGACCCAAGACAAACCTGCACCAGACTGCTCTCTGGAATTGAAGTGATAGTTTTAAAGCTTGTTCTCAGCTTATCCAAGCATGCAGGAACGTATTTATCAAAAAGAATCGTTAAATTGGCCTTTTCTGACTGATGCCGCCTTCTGTCTATCCAACTGGCCACATACCTGAAAAAGAACACAGAAAGGCTCTTAATTGAGCACCAGGCTCGAAAAGCAGAAATTCATGTACTCAAAAGCTTCCCCCTTCAACACAGCTTGGTCCAATACTTCAGGGACACGTTGAGTGGGTTCATTCTATTTCTCAAATGGCAAATATTTTAAAATGACCCTTTATACACTTGTTTTAATGGCCATTTTACCCAAATGAAAAGAATGTAAAAGAAACTACTAACAGCACTTAGAAACCCAACATAATAGAGGATAAGTAGGCCATTACTGAGCATTTATAAGGAAGTAGAGTTTGTCATTTCCTAGAGCACTGAAACTATTTTCAGAGGGTAGGCTTTATTTATGAAAACAGCTTGGGGTTTTTCTTGATTAAAATTGGCATCGATTTTTTAGTAATGAAAAATCAGTTACAAATAAAAAGGCGAAAATTTCATAGGGACTATTTCCAAGTCCCTCCTTGTTCACTGGATTGAACGTAACTCTAACCTGATAGCTGATAATGTGGTTCCTATGTGTGTGTGCTCAGTTGCGTCCAACCGTCTGTGGCCCCATGGACTGTAGCTCGCCAGGCTCCTCTGCCCACAGAATTTTCCAGGCAAGAATAATGGAGTGGGGTGCCATTTCCTACTCCAGGGGATCTTCCTGACCCAGAGATCAAACCCTCATCTCCTGCTTGGCAGACAGATTCTTTGCCATGAGCATCACCTGGGAAGCCAGTAAGTGGCTCTAAAATGGTATCTCACCCTTGGGTACAGGTGTATAAATCTGAAGCTTATAAAATGTTACCACTTACATTCATATTTCTAACACATTAATAAAATAATGTTTGTCAATAAAATGAAACATGACTTAGTTGTACCCACAGTAGACTCTGGAAAGAAACTGTATGATATGACATGAAAAATAATTGCTCAAAGAGTTCTCATCAAATAAGAAACAGTGATCACAAATCCATGCAGCTGCCACCAGAGACAGTGCAACCAGATCAATGACAGCTATACCTTGCTTTAAGCAAATCAGATTGCATATTTTTAATATCAAAAGAAATTAAAGCAAGATGATTATTTCAGCAAAGGCTCCCTCTGATAACCCTAAGGCTTCATGATGGAGTTGTATTAAATATTTAACTATCTACACACTACTGCTAGATTTATGAACTATCAACTACTATAACTTTTTCAGGTCAAAAAGGAATGATTTAGCTGAAGTTCAGTTGCATGATGGTGACTGAAAGGTCACTTCTGGTGCTCCCCGAGTTGCATCCAGTGAGTGCCACAGAACAGTGGAATAATGGAGTACGGTTGCTAGGTACTCAGAATGAAGGCCACAACTACCCCTTAGCTACTGTTTTTATTCTACACAAGCTGGCAGAACTTAAGTCTCAGTATCCAGAGCTTTTTTCGGTAGGGTAGGTGCCGGGGGCGGTGGGGGGGGAGATTATTTAGGGAGATGGAGCTCTAAGTCAGACTGCCCGGATCTTTATCCATCCTTTAACTCTGTTTCCTTGGGCAGGTCAGTTAATGTCTCTGTGCCTCTAATTTCTTAACTGGCAATGGAGATGATGATGACATGCTTCTCCTAAGGTTGCTGTGAGGAGAAAATGAGTTCTCATGTATTAAGTGCTTAGATTAATAACTGACATATAACAAATTTCCAATCAATGCTACCCATTAGCACAGAGTTGGTGGAATTGGGAGAACTGGGTTCAGATCCTGGCTTTGCCTCTCTGCGCATCTCCTAAAGGCAGTAGTGTCCTGCAGGGCAGGCAGTGCTCTGTTGGGCTTAAGAAATTCTGCCCCAACTCCCCACCTCTGTCTTTGGTCTCTGCCGGGACAGAAGGCTGTGCAGGGCCAACCAGGAGTTGCAGCCTCAACAAAGGCACAGAAGGGGAAGTGGGCTTTGCACTTAGGTAACAGCTACTTCACTGACCCTCCCTGGCGGCAGCCAAAGTCTCAAAGGGACAGCCCACCAGGCCCAAGAGCAACTGATGCTGCTGTACAAAGTATGTCCACAAAAAAGAAAGTGAATTCAGTCAAACCAGGAGATGTGGTAAGAGTAGAAACTGACTGGAGGCAAACAAACAAAAAAGGAAACAAAATGACCTCTGCCAGCAGTCAACCACACCATATAGCCCTGGAAGTTAAGAAAAAAAGCGCCTATATTGTTAAATATGGACAGTTGAAAACACTATGTATAAATTACTGCTAAATTTCGTAAACATTAAAATGCAGCAAATTATCTTTAGCAATGGAAGAACTGAAGCTACAGGTCTGTGTTATTGGCAATTCCTTCCACCCTATTTCATGCAAAATTTTCTCATGATTTCTAAAAGACGCTCTAGATTTGAACATAGACAAATGAAACACACTGCTACCATACAACATACAAGTAAAAACATCATATATTTATTCCTTACCTACATATGAGTTCACCCACATCACTGCCCCTGCCTCAGGAAATAGCTGCCTTAATGCAACAGATGCTTTAATGCATCACCTTAACGCTAATGTCTAGGTCACCAACAGAGAATCTTTGGCTCAGTGGTGCTTGCAAATCTGTTCCCAATAGGCAGCTGTGTTGCACCTCCTCCTCCTCCAGAAGTCTTATAGGTGCATCAATTCTATAGGAACATCACAGGAAGTCTACAGCCCTGCAGTTGAGAAACTATAAAGGTAGCCAAAGTTTTCAGGCTTCTGAAGACATTATTTATTACTCTAAGTCTGGCACTGGGATCCCATCATACAGCACAATAGGAATTCAGGGCTGTCTACAGTTTGCCTCTCATGGCAAGATTTTGGTTTTCTATCATTCACAGTGGCCTAGAAAATAGCAGAAGTTGAAAAGGACCTACAGATCAACAGTATACATTGATGACAACTGAATCTGTATGTTTACACATAAAACAGAATCCAAAGATGAAAGGATGGGGTTGTAGGGACAGAAGACAATAAGCTCATCCGATGTAGGTGAGTGAATGAGTGAGACAAAGGTAGAATGATATTTTCAACTAAATTATTAGAGAAATGCAAATCTGAAGTACAGTGAGGTACCACCTCACACCAGTCAGAATGGCCATCATTAAAAAGTCTACAAATAGCAAATGTTGGCAAGGATATGGAGAAAAGGGGACCCTTCTACATCATTGGTGGGAATTCAAATGGGTTCAACCGCTATGGAAAATACTAAGGAGGTTCCTCAAAAGAACTAAAAATAGAATTGCCATACGATCCATCAATCCCACTCCTGGGCATATATCAGGAAAAACTAAATTTTGGAAACACACACACACACACACACACCCCTATGTTCACAACAGCACGATTCACAATAGGCAAGAAATGGAAACAACCTAAAAGGTCATCCACAGATGAATGGATAAAGAAGATATAGTGTGTGAAAACACACACACACACACACACACACACACAATGAACAGTACTTAACTGTTAAAAAAGAAGAAAGAAAGAACGCCATTTGCGGCAACATGGATGGACCTTAGAGATTATTATATTACGTGAAGTAAATCACAAAGATAAAGACAAATACCATATGATATCACTTACATGTGGAATCTAAAATAGGACATCAGTGAACTTATCTATGAAACAGAAATAGACTCACAGACACAGAGAACAGGCTGGTTGCCAAGGGGGAAAGAGGGTGGGAGGGATGCCTGGGGTTGGCAGTTGCAAACTATTATATATACGTGTGTGTGTGTGTGTGTGTAATGAAGCTAACACAACACTATAAATCAACTCTACTTCAATAAAATCAAGTTTTTAAAAGAAACATTTTCAACTAAAGTAACAGAGGGAAAAGTATGATCTGAAGTTGTGGCTCCCAAAAGTTATCTTCCAGGAATCAGACAAAATTTCAGAAATATTCCTGCCTTTTCCTATCATTATGTACAAGCTATGCAGTACATAGTTTGGTAGATCTCATTTTCAGTTATGCTCCCTTTAAATAATTATAAATGAATTTAACCATTCTCTGTTTTTCTGTGCACTTTATTACTTTCTACTAGAAAAAATTCTCATTGATGATCATTTTCAGAAGTTTACTTCTAATTTCTCTCAAGATGTCAATAGATGTAGGATTCTTTCGGTAAACTTACTTAGAACTCAGAATTAAAATAGTATTTGATTTCTCTAGTCACTTACTGAAATGATTTTAAGGATGTTGTTTGACTTCTTATCTGTAAAATGTGGACATAAAATTATGCATTTAAATAGCTCAGTGAATTTTCACAAAAAAGTTCTTAGCAGGTTAAGTAATAAGAGCATTCTATTTATTCCTTAGTTGGAACATAGTATTTCATAATCTCCTCTATCCAAAATATCTTAGCAGTTTCCACATATGAATTAAGAAAATGTATTTCCTAACTCTGGACACTAAAAGTTCTAGAAGCAATGACATACCAGTGGCAATGAGCACTCTAGCATCATATCTTGGATTCTAAATACTACTCCTTAGACAAAAACCAGTCACTCCCAGCTCCTTAGAGAAATGGCTGAATGGAGTGTAGGGGAAGGAAAGTCTGAGATGAGCCAGAACCATCTGGCTCAGCTAGAAAGCAAATATAAAAGAACATGAAAGGCGCTCCTGCTGGCAAAATTTAGGACAAATTGAACATGCAAAAGAATACTGTTGGCAATGATTCATAATCCACTGAACTAAGAGAAAAAAATAACCCATGAATAGAAAATGACACTCCTCAAAAAGAAAAAGGAAGGGGGAAGAGAAGAGAGAGAGAGAGAGGAAGTAAGGAAAAAGAGTAGAAGGGAAGGATAGAAATAGTTTTTTCCTTTATTTTTACTAAAAAAATGTCACTTAATATTAATACATAGAGACAGAGAGGTGGGCCCACTTTGCAACCACTTTGCAAATATCATTCTTTGAAATATCTGGCTTCTTCTCTTCAAAACTCTAAATGTCATGAAAGAAAAGAATGCCATGAAATTAAAAGATGTTTACTCCTTGGAAGGAAAGTTATGACCAACCTAGACAGCATATTAAAAAGCAGAGACATTACTTTGCCAACAAAGGTTCATCTAGTCAAGGCTATGGTCTTTCCAGTAGTCATGTATGGATGTGAGAGTTGGACTATAAAGAAAGCTGAGCACCGAAAAATTGATGCTTTTGAACTGTGGTGTTGGAGAAGACTCTTGAGAGTCCCTTGGACTGCAAGGATATCCAACTAGTCCATCCTAAAGGAGATCAGTCCTGGGTGTTCATTGGAAGGACTGATGCTGAAGCTGAAGCTCCAGTACTATGGCCACCTGATGCGAAGAGCTGACTCATTTGAAAAGACCCTGATGCTGGGAAAGACTGAAAGTGGGAGGAGAAGGGGACGACAGAGGATGAGGTGGTTGGATGGCATCACTGACTCAATGGACATGGTTTGGGTGGACTCCGGGAGTTGGTGATAGACAGGGAGGCCTGGCGTGCTGCAGTTCATGGGGTCGCAGGGTCAGACACGACTGAGAGACTGAACTGAACTGATATATATTCCATTGGGTATTTATTCCATTCAGCCTTAAAAAGAAATGAAATTCTAGCACCTGCTGTAGCATGAAGAAACTTTGAATATAATTTTCTTTATTTTAAAAAGTCTTATTCTGCAGATTTAGAAATTTGAGAGTTTTTAATAACTGTAAAAGAAATCCAGTCACACCTAATGATTAACAGAATGTAGTGTTGTATAATCTAAACAGAAATCGTGATGTGCCATAATAAATTGTCTATTAGTAAAAAAAAATACACTTTAGGGCACAGCATCATATCACAAATTAAAGTAGGGATACTTTGCAAGAATTTATTCAAACTAGAGAATTCTGAGTAACTGTCTTCTGAATGCAGCACTTAAAAATGTAACAACTCTGTGCATTCTTTTTTCTTAAAAAAAGACATTTTACTAAGTGAAATAAGCCCATCACAAAAAGACAATTATTATATGATTCAATTTATAAGAAGTACCTAGGGTATTCAAATTCATAGAGATAAGATAGTAGAAAGGAGCTGGGGATGCTGGGAGGGGTACTGTTTAGTGACTGGGGTTTCAGTTTGGGAGCATGAAAAAGGTTCTGGAGACTGATGGTGATGATGGGTACAATGTGAATGTACTCAATGCCATTGAAATCTGTTCTTAAAAATGGTTAAAATGGTAAATTTGACATGATGTACATTTTATCACAATTAAAAAAAAAAAGCCATACTCACGGATTCCAGCCTAAATCTTGTGGGTTTACATATAGAATACCAGCTCTGGAAACAGTAGCTGGGGTTGCAGTCCTCAAGTGATGGATCTCAAAGAGCAGCTTCATAGAGGGAGTCAGAGCTACGCGCTCACTGCTGGCCAACGTCAGCACCTGGACACGGCAGCACAGCACAAACGTGGCCATTTCATCAGGGAGCAAAGGCAAGGCTGCTGACTTTTCATAACAGCAGGAAGTCCTCCCCCCGCCCCCAGGAGAAGTGCCAAAGGCTACATATGAGCTCACTGCCCAAGTTAGAAATGACCACTGCCCGAGTTAGAAATGCAGTCTGAATAAAGATACCAGTTGGTCCCCAGGGGAGCTCACTGACCCCCCCCCGAGGAACAAACTCAACATGCCCTTACTCCTGCCAACTTTTAAACAACTATGGTAATTATCTAAATTTAAGACTTTTGTTTTAACAGTTGATTACATAAAAAGGCATGAATACCATAAGAAATAAACTTTATTGAGAATCTGAAATATCTCAATTTTAAATTGTCCTATTGAAACTCATGCAAGTATAAAGATCTCAGACATGCATTTTATGATAAACAGTATTTCAGTTCACCTTGTTATCATCCATGACAGTGTTTAGTGATTCAATCCACATGGGATCAATATCACCATCCAGGACTATCCATTTTGGTCCATCATGCCTAAGATTTGCTTGTTCTCGCAGAATGGATGAAAACAGACCTGTAAGTTGAGAGTAAATAATCCTAATGTACAATGGGGCTGACTGCTGTTCACTTCTAAAATAAATTTGTGTTAACCGTATTGGAAGTTCTCTTAAGTAAGTTTGCACCTCATCAGGTGGCAAAACAACAATGCTTTTTGAGCCATACCTGGGCTCTCAAGATCACTGGGCAAGTTTCACTTCCATGAGACGGTTGCTTAACATCTCACACCAAGAAACCCCAAAGATCAAATAAAGTGCCTTCCCTGAAGAACATTTGTGGAGACTTACAGCAGGCAATGTACATGAAACTCAGTAGTTATACAACTGAAAACAGTATCCTTTTTTTTTTTCCATGCACATATATTCAGTAACTATTTTGGGCCAAATATTAGCTTATTCCACCTTTATCAGTTTTTCCATAACATTATTCAAGAGAGATCATTATAAACTATTCAGAAGTGTAATATATTTCTTTGAGAAATTCATTCACTGGCATTGTAAGACATTATTATCTCACAAGATGTAAAGATAAAACATTTTAAATTCACAGTCTTTCTTGCTATGTATGTTACATAGCATATTTAATAGCTGCTGAGTGTTCAAAACTCAAGTATATAATACTACAGTGAAAAAAACTGTATTGAGGCATGTATGTGGAAGGTTTTGTTTTCTGTGAAGTATCTTGTGCAAAGATGAGTGACAGTCAAAACAGAACCTGCCATTATAATTCACAAAAATGTCAGCAATGTTTCTAATGGACAATGATCTGAAAGGCTTCCACATATTTTCAGTGTAAACATTATTCCCTTCCTGCCACAGTCTTGAAAAAAAAGTTAGAAAGCTTATGCGAGTACATTTTGATAGTCCCACGATTAAGGAAGCAGTGTGTACATGATATTAGGAAGGATAATGATGAAGTCGGCTTCTTTGATAGGGTCATCAGGAAGGTCTTCTTTGATGTGATATTTGACCCGACATTCCAGTAATATAAGGGAGCAAGCTATGCCAGCATCTCCACTGCTGCAGACAGTGGGAACACCAAGTGCAAAGGCCCATGATGGGAAGATGCTTGGCAATTTGGGGCAAGAGCAAGGAGGCCTGAGCATGTAATGTGAAAGTAAAAGGCAGAGAACAAGAAATGAGGTCAGAGATGGGGAAGGGGGACTCCATCACATAGAACCCTGTAGGCTTTGGATAAAGGCTGGATCCTAATGCTGATGAAACACACTGGAAACTTCAAGCAGAGAAGTAACATTTTGAAGAGCCTCTGTCTACTGCATGGAAAATGAGCTTCTTGGAGACCCATGAGGTGTGGCCCACCGTTGGTGGTCTGGACTCATGTGGAAGCTGCAGAGAAGGTGAGAAGTACTGGAATACAACACATACGTTAAAGGTAAAGCCTACAGAATCTGCTGTGAGGTTGAATGCATGCTGGGAAAGAACTCAAAGATGATGACAATGTTAGTGCATTTATGGAAATGAGAATGTAAGAAGTGATCTTAACAAAACAAAGGAATCTGCTTGTCTGCAAAAATGGTTTCAGGACAAGAAACATGTCCCAAGGACTCTGGAACTTAGTCAGTGTCTTGCATCAGGTACTGCGTAAATATTTCTTGAAGCATTTGTGTTGACTTCTCTTCCAGTTTATGGAGAGCGCTGACATAAATAATGGGGGATAAAATACACAGCTTTGTGCATGAACCTGCTGAATGCTAATCAACCACTTATTCAAATCTAGGTTTAATTTATAGGTTATAAATGCTGTTGTGAGCTGCTCTATTTCCAATAACGCCGACCCATAAATATTAAATCTTCAGCCATGACTAAAATTGGCTTGAACTAAGAAATGATTTTCTGGATTAAAAAAAAAAAGAATTTTTTAGCATTTCAAAAGGGGAAATACTACGTGCCGTCTTTCCATTCTCGGGTAGCATGATGAATGAAACCGAAGAGTTCATCTGTTGTCACAGCTTTGGGGTTTAAGTCATTCCAAACGGGTTTCTGTTTCATGTTAACATATGTTCGGTTTAATGTTCTCAAAATCTAGGGAAGAAAAGGAAAAAAGCTAAGAAAACTAATACTAATGTAAGCCAAATGAAAAGCAAAAGATTTCTGAAGGATTTTCCTTATGTGTTATATGTTCCTATATATATGAGTGTACTGAGAATAGGAAAACATTTACATGTGTATATTTTCATTCCCATCTTGAAAACTTTAATTCTACAATCCCCGAGGATCAGTTTACCTGATTCTTTCGACAATGTAGACAAGAGAAATTCACCATCAACTGAGATTTTTAACCATGTGTTAAAGCAAAGTAAAGGCTTGTACATGTTATTCCTGTGCATGATGTTAACATCCACTCTGCCCATATTATTTAGATGGTTCTTCAAATTTAGCCTGCATCCAAAGTGCATAAAAGGTATTTAAACAGACTAACAGACCCAGTCTCAGAGTTTCTAATTTAGTAGGTCTCAGGTAGGACTGATTTGAGTTCTAACAAGGTCCTCGGTGATGTCTATGATGCTTGTCTAGCTCTACTGTGAGAACTGGTGACCTAGAGAAGTAAGTTCTCAACAGGAGACTGTCTTGACCTGAGGGAAGAGGATGTGCTGCTGGGCATCTTGTGGGCAGAGGCCAGGGATGGCTGCTCAATATTCTGCAATGATAGGCCGGCCCCCAAGACAAAGACTTAGCAGATCCAAATGTCAGTGGTGCTGAAGCTAAGAAACTCTGATCTAGGTAATTGAGGAAAAGAAGCTTTGAGGCTAGGAATTCACAGAACAGATGCTTAATGTTGTTTTGCTGTTTAGTCGCTCAGCTGTGTCTGACTCTTCTCGACCCCATGGTCTGCAGTATGCCAGGCTTTCCTGTCCTTCACTATCTCCTAGAGTTTGCTCAAACTCATGTCCATTGAGTCATGGACATCATCTGATGACAAGTGATGCCATCCAACTCCCTCATCCTCTGTCGTCCCCTTCTCCTCCTGCCTTCAATCATTCCCAGCATTAGGGTCTTTTCCAGTGAGTCGGCTCTCTGTATCAGGTGGTCAAAGTAGTGAAGCTTCAGCTTCAGCATTTTAGTCTTTCCAATGAATATTCAGGACTGATTTCCTTTAGGATGGACTGGTTGGATCTCCTTGCAGTCCAAGGGACTCTCATGAGTCTTTTCCAACACCACAGCTCAAAAGAATCAATTCTTCGGTGCTCAGCCTTCTTTATGGTCCAACTCTCATATCCATACATGGTTGCTGGAAAAACCATAGCTTTGACTATATGAACCTTTGTTGGAAAACTGATGTCTCTGCTTTTTAATATATCTAGGTTTGTCATAGTTTTCCTTCCAAGGAGCAAGCGTCTTTTAATTTCATGGGTGCAGTCACTGTCCACAGTGATTTTTGAGACCAAGAAAAAATCTTCACTTAATACATATCTGCTTAATGAACTGATGCCTTAACCCAAGTATCTGCCCAACTATCCTTTTTGCTTTCTCTGAAAAGCCATAGCTTTTATTTTAGATATTATCATCCTTATCGCCTCACAGGGGTTTAAAGGACTGACAAACAATTGCCAAATACTTCAGAACACTACATTGCTAAATAATATGGCCCCAAGCTTTGGTGCTCTAGTTCTATCAGCATAAGTAAAGGTTGAATAGAACAGAAACAGAATCAGCAAAGACTAGATGAAAGAAATTGAATGTCTTAGGAATATTAAGCTTCTATTTTTAGAAACCATTAATCTACTGAAAATGATAGAACTTAATTTTATCCTTCCTTTCACCATAGACCATATCTGAAACTTAACTCTAACAAAATAATTACAGGTCTATCAGTTAGTTATCTACTTTAATATTTCAATTATTACATTTTTCACTAGAAAAAAGCCCTATACCGGGCCTCCTTTTACAAGTGTACCACTTTGAGTTCTGATCTAAACATTGGCAAGTTCTATAGACATCCATGCCCTGAAGTCGCATGTGCGCACTACACTTATTTTTAGTCACCAGTTACTAAATATGTTTCTACCCAAGCACCCTCAATTAAAACACATGCAGTTCTGCCTATACTGTCTGCCAAGCAAGAAAAGTATGTTTCCAGGATGTCAGTAAGACCAAACAAAATCAAGCAGTGAACTAAAAATGGAGATAATAACAGCCATGGACTCTCATCACTGTACAGAGTAAATCATACATCATGCACCTAGCACAGCATGTAACAGGTACCTCAAAAACGTGGCCTTTGCTTCCGCCATTTCTTTTCAAGTTTTGCTTTGGCCCCACAGAGAGTGATATTGAAGAAAACTATTTGGGTTTTTCTCAGTGATATGGGAAGGAGAAACTAGGATAACTTGGAAAATACCAGAAAATAGTTTTGACAAATGTGGGTAGGGCAGAACCAATCTTGTAATCTGGGTATCTTATTCTAGAGTCTCTCAATATGTTTACTTTGGATAAAAGAATTCAGGTATATTACTGAAAGATGCATAAGACAGGAGGGCATTCATCTAAAAGTGTGAATAGGATGCTATCTCATGTGGAAAGCCCAGTCTGCCTTCATTTACTTTCCCTGAGTGCAGTGTTCTAGTAATTCCTCTCTCCTTGTTCTCATTATAAAGAAAAAGAGTGTCAACTGATCAGAGAGCAATATTAGAGTCTCAGATTCTAACTTCAAATTATGAGCAAATTCACTGAAGGGAACTCTCAAGTAGAACTGAATGTAGGCCCCACTCTTATGCCAGTTTTGTTCGCTTCATGGCTGAAAGCTCACGGTGTTTACCATACCTTACTCTTCCCTGTGCCTGCATTTCCAACGACGAAGACAGAGTGCCGCATGGCCAACAGCTCCTCAAGCTGAACAACCTACAGACCAAACAACCAGACACTAGTTTCCTTTAAAAAAAATCTACCCATTTTTGCCCAGTTCTTTCCTTACAACTCAAGCCAGACCCCACCAGCAGCATTATATTCTGGGAAAATTCAGAGATAACAAGTGCTAAGTATAGTTTCTCCCGGATCTCCCAATGTAGAATATGGGGATGAGAATGAAGAACCACCATTAATTAGTTAATGAGTCACAGGCACGGGCAGAAGTGAAGTACAGAAGTACTTGGTACATGGCAGGAGTGAGTCTGAAAATCAGTAACACTCATGAACTGTGACCAGAAACAGTATATGGCCAATATCATCTATAACTAATGACACAGCCTCCGAATTATCTAAAACAGATGCCCTTTATGTATTTTAACACTCCCAAATGAGCAAGCATATGCACAAGCCTTTGGGAAGTCAGATGACATCATACATATGGACACTTCTCCCCACTTACAAACATGTGCTAATGATTTTAGTACTTCCACCCTTCCTTAAGATGGGGACAAAAGATAGCAAAATTAATTTTTGCTGCACATCAGCAAGGAGTTTTATGAACTAATGAAAAGTCTGCTCACATTGAAAACCATGACTTAATCATATCTGTATATGTTCACCTTCTCACAAATGGGATGATATTTGTATTTACTTTAGTAAAGACTTCCATGTTAGAATGCTATAAAGTATGTGTCAAGATTATCTTAAGGTCAGTGGAATATGTAAGGTGATGTTTTGGCTGCATCACGTCACTCGTCACTGCAGTTATGGGCACTGAATATCCCAAGGGCTGCCATGACAAGGGAATTTTCCTTTTACTTTGAGGATGAAGCTTTCCTCAGGCTGCAGGCGGAGCTCCACAGTGGACTGCCTGACCATCCGTTCAAAGTCGGGTGCTCTCCTCCGGGGCACGTCTAGGGATGGAAACAGGTCACCAATGAGGCCCAAAAACACAGAGGTGTCATCAGTCACTATTTTAGGCATATTGAAGTCCCTTAATGCTCTCATGAGTACCTAGAAAAGAAGAAGTAGAAAACTTTTCATAAAAAAGCTGATACAAGGTCTAACAAGCACCTCAACAGCTCAAAATGTTATTTTTAATTTTCATATCTAAGTCATGAGATAGATCTTGTTCTCTATTAGAATGGCATTCTATCTACAGGGAGGGTAACTGCTTACAAAGTCACATATCAGAACAGGAAAGAACTCTGTTGATACCATGGCTAACCTCAGACTAAAGCCAGCCAAGGGGCCCTGTCCCTTCCTTGACAATATCTGGATCTTAAGACAAGGTCTGAGGTGCTTCTGTCTGTAATCCTAAAACTCCAGGATATAAATTTACTAGGCCCATCAGATCATTTTATTCAAAACACTCTGAAAATCTCAGAATGATCAACTCCATCCATTTTTAGCTTGGGTTTTTATTCTGTATTGGTTGAAAGCCAAAGACAGCTTTAGATATTAAAATCAGTAATTTGAACATCAGGATGACTTTCACACAAAGAGGTAAGTGTCCCAAGAAAAATAAAAATATAGCAAGAAATAGCAAGAAAACAAACATATGACAGTCTTGACCCAATCATGAATTGTGACTGAGAGGAAGAGAAAGATTGGAAAAAAAGAAGCAGAAATTCACATGATAAATATCCCTTAACATGAAAAGAAACTCAAAGGAATAGACCTTTTTTTCAAAATTGCAAGCCATACTGCATCTACACAAAGGCTGTATATCAATTACTCTCATTACTTGTTTAACAGAGAAAAATGCACAATGTGGATGTTATTGTTTTTCCCCATGAAGGAGACTGGAACATCCCCTTGTTTCTCTAAATAACCAGTTAAGTATTTCATTGGTGTCAGGCAAGCATCCTTCCTGTTACTTTCTTCCTGTTCATCCCATAAATGAACATACTTTCTTCCATTAGATTATGTCTTCGTTGACATTTTTAGGATTAATATCCCAACTCAATCAGATTTTCTAAATGCTCCTCAGAGAAAATCAAACAATGATTACTGAATTATTTACAACTGTCCAAATACTTTTTGTGGCTGATATTTCAAAAGCACTTATAAAATCACAGTTTCTTTCATATATTCATATCCTTTTACTCAAAAATACTTGTAGTCTTGTATAACGTAAGAAATGCCAGTCCTCAAAATATCCGGTATTAAAAATAGATGTGACCCTTTTTAAAAGTTGTGGTATGTATAACCCACCATCCACACATACACTTTTCTTTGTACAAAGCCATTTAGTTATTCACACAACAAAATCATATTAGCACTGCAGTACCTGATCTTCAGGTCTATTTTTATCTCCTCGTTTCAGGGAGCCAGCTACAACCAAGACAGATTTAATAGCACGAAGTCCCCAATCATAATGATCCTAAAATCAAAACACAGATACATTCTTTCAAAAACTTTATGAGGCACTCAGACTCTCATTCCAGAAGGAAGAGCTCAAGGCTAAAAGAAAAGAATTCACTTAAACACGTGTCTTGACGATGAAAAGTAATATTTTTCTCCCCTCCTTGAAATTTTAAAAATCAGGTCCCTTCACTGTCCTGCTTCTTTTGACTGATTTTCTGCCTCTGTAAGCAAATCTCTTCTTTCCATGGTGTTTAGTTGCAGTATTTGCCCAAGGCTCCACCTGCCTGCCTCCCTCTGTTCTTTCAATAAACTAGCCAACTCAGAGGTACAATTACTCCCATGTTTCACCTCCAACCACAAGCACACTCCTCTTGTCCACCTGGAGCCCTGCTATTCTGTCTCCTCCTGGCCCTGGATCTCTAATCTCCCTCATTACTCTCTCTCTACAAAAATAAATTTTATTGGAGTACAGCTGCTTTACAATGTTGTGTTAGTTTCAAGCATACAGCAGAATGATTCAATTATACATATACATGTATCTGCTCCTTTTTAGACTGCTTTCCCATATAGATCATTACAGAGTACTTATTCGGTGGCTCAGTGGTAAAGAATCCGCCTGCAGTGCAGAAGAAGTAGGTTTGATCCCTGTGTGGGGAAGATCCTCTGGAGAAGGAAATGGCCACTCACTCCAGTGGAAAATCCCATGGACAGAGGAGCCTGGCGAGCTACTCTCCATGGGGTCACAAAGAGTTGGACATAACTTAGCAATTAAACAACAACAGCATACAGCAGGTCCTTATTAATTACCTATTTTATACACAGTAGCATAGATAACACATCTATCCCAGTCTTCCAACTTATCCATCCGGCCACCTTACCCCTGGTAACTGTTAAGTTTGTTTTCTACATCTGGAACTTCATTTCTATTTTGTAAATAAGTTTATTTGAACCCTTTTTTAGATTCCACATATAAGTGATATCATATGATGTTACCTGTAGGTAAGAGTGGAGGAGGGATGAACTGGGACACTGAGATTGACATATACACTACTGTATATAAAACAGATAACTAATAAGGACCTACTGCACAGCACAGAGAACTCTACACAATACTCTATAATGGCCGATACGGGAAAAGAATTGCAAAAAGAGTGGATATGAGGATAGCAGATTCACTTTGCTGCACACCTGAAACTAACACAACATTGTCCATCAACTTTACCCCAATAAAATATTTTAAAAATATGTTCAATGATTAAACCGATACCTCTTTGAGACTTCTACATTATCTCTGCACAAGATTTCTTCACAGGCTCTGAGCTCCTGGAGCACAGACCCCGTGTTGATTGTTTGCCTTCTAGGTCTTAGCACGGTGCCCTGCACAGAGCAGGGCCTCAAGAAAGACATTCTGCATTAGCTGAGCGGCTGTTTATAAACGGCCTTCTACCTACAACCACACAGAAACAACCCTTCTCTCTAATGCCTCCTGGCTATGCCCAAGGGAAAGTCATTTAAGCTCTCCAAGTCTTACTATCATCATCTATAAAAAGGCAGATGGAAGTATTCATCCACTTGACAAGGTTGTTGGAGTAAAACCAGTTACTGCCTTGAGAGCAGTGGTGCAACACATGTAAGTATAAATATGCCCCTCCATCCACTAGTAGATAATAAAACCAATGTAGTGGGTCTTAACCATCATTTTTCTTGGTATTAAAATAGAAAATAATGCAATGAAAAATACCACAGTGCACTGCAAACAATAACGGTAAGAAGTGCTTGATGAAGACTTTTGTTTCGGTTGTATTTGGATGCATGTGTGTATGCACATATGTGTATACTGAGTCTCAATAGAAAAAAGTATGTTTTACTGTGGGTCACAGCAAAAATCATTTCAAAGCCACTGATATAGAAAGAACTAGGGCTTGAGGAGGAAAAGAAGGGCGAAGAACCAACATTTAGAGGCCACAGAGATTGGGGAGGGGGTAAGTCACTGCAGTAAAACTATTAAAGAAGAGAATGTATGAAAGATACATGTACTTCAAAGATACTAGTACTTCACAGCAGTACTATTTACAATAACAAATATAGGAAGCAGACTGAATATCCACTGACAGAAGAATGGAAGATGTGTATATACATTTATATAATGGAATACTTCAGCCATAAAAAAATAATGAAATAATGCCATTTGCAGCAACATGTATGGTCTGAGAGATTATCATACTAACTGAATTAACTCAAAGAAAAACAAATCTCACAGGATGTCACTTACATGCTGAATTTAAAATATGACACAAATGAACTTATTTATAAAGTAGAAACAGACTCACAGACATAGAAAACAGACTTAGTTACCCAAAGGGAAAGGGGTGGAGGGAGAAGCATAAATTAGGAGTTGAGATTAGCAGACACAAATTACTATATATCAAATAGATAAACAACAAGGTCCTACTGTAGCACAGACAATTATTATCAACATCCTTTAATAACCTATAATGGAAAAAATATGAAAAAGATTATATACACATGTGTGTGTGCTTGTGTGTATAACTGAATCACTTCTGTACAACAGTAACTCAACACTGTAAATCAACTATATTTCAATTTTTCTTTTAAAGGTGACTTGATGACACTTCTAAACATTTAAACAGTGCAAACAACTGCTAAAATAATCTTCATCATTTTCATTATGTTATTCCTTTGGTCAAAAATGTCTACTGATTTTTCTAAAACCCATTCTCACAGCTTAGAAAACTATCAGGATTATGTCCATAACTCAGCTTTTCTGTCCCGGATGAATTTCTTCCACCTCATTCCCTCCCTGAGGCTTCTCTGAGTTGGAAAACTCTTTCCTTGCCTGTTCTGCCTTTACTCCCAGCATCTTCCTCCTATAACTGGCTGCTGGTGTCCTAGATAGGATTAGAAAGGACTGGATTCAATCATGTTCCCACCACTTATTAGTCATGAGCTTCAGATAGGTAATTGCTCAGTTTCCTCATCTGTAAAACAGAATGAATAATACTAAGTTCATAGTGTTTTTGTTAAGATAATAAAGATAATACATGGTTCCTGTTCCGTAAATACTGGTTCCTTTTTCCTTGAAACTATGATTTACTTCATCCTCCATTTCTTTCTAATTTTTATGTCGTGTATACTAAATCTCCTAAATAGATCTTTTTAAGACAGAAATCTGAGTGTTTCATTTGTTCTGTGTTTACCCCCTTCATCATCAGCAGCAATAAATTTATTACTTGAATACAGTAAATGCTCACTAAATGTTTAAGTATGGTACTGGGAATACAGTATGGTTGTGACTACATGTATCCTGGATCCAGTAACACTGATTTCTTCTGATGTTTTTCCATTATAAAATTAAAATGGTTTCATTGAAAAAAAAATGTCATCACAAACAATAAGGAAAAATTCTAAAATACAATCTTATTACCCAGAAACAAATGTTAAAAGTCACAATGTATTTTCCAGTCACTTTATACATAAAACACACAATATAACATATAAAATATACTCAAGTTATAGATCACATCTACAGTTTGGTATACTACTTCATTTCATATAACACTGTCATCAACATTTTCCACACGCATTTGCCTCTCAGACTTTAAATTTCATCCCAACAATGGGTAATTTGAAATGAGTGTATCTGGCAGTATAAGTAAGTGTATGGTTGTAACTGTGATATTTTAATACTTACACCCGGGAAAAACTGCAAAATAACATCACTAGGAATTAACAAAAGGTCACCAAAAGACTGAAGTCAAAGGTGACCACAAAGCTAAATTTAAAAATGGTGATGTTGATATAGATGCCATTTTTTTTGACCCATCAGCAGATTCAATTAAACAGCAAGAAGCTACTGACTGGAGAATAAAGTATACTTTAATTTGGCCCATTTCAGAGGCTAGGGAATTGCAGAGCAAAAATAACCACAAAAAAGCCAACTCTACCTTCAAAGAAAGAACTACCAACAAAATGAGAAACCCTTTAACTTAACATTTCTTGAGGGTTCTTCAGAAAATCAGCTTTCCCTGAGTCTTATGAACACTCCCACCCTCTTTCCCTGGAAAATAACATTCCCACCAAAAAAGAGAGGCATCATAAAACTCATATCTAATTATAGCACTGATAACATTAAAAAACAATCACATAGCCCATTGATAAAACTGTATTAAATACATACAAAACCTTCAAATTTGTCTCATGTGTTTAATTTTTTAAAAATGAAGAACTTGTAAAGCATAGATTTTCAAAATTTAAGGGAAAATATAAAATTATTCCTGAACATCTAACTGTAATATGAGTGATAAATTACCTAGCATCCATACTTTCAGAAGCTGTTTTAATGGGGTTTAACAACCAAGAAAAAGTAACAAAAGACCCTCACCTGCTTGGACAGGAGCTCCTGGCAGTGTGTGTACAACGTGATAAATTTGCGGGCTAATGAGCGCGCATCCACAAAACCCTCAGCAACTAACAGGATTTCACAGATTAGCTTGATGTCTGGGGCCACCATGGCACAGGGTCTAGAAAGTAAATATGAAATTTTGTTTTAAAATGTGATAAGGAAATAAGTACAAATTGCTGAAACCAAGTGATTAATGCATACCCACATTCTAGTCATTCCCAAGCAGGTCACAATTACCTGTCAATCTCAGGTAACAAGACCCTTCACTTCAACTAAAAAATGCCCAGGAGCTACTGGATACAGAGACAAAGGCGGAAAATCTGAAAATGTCAGAAGCACACATGTAGGAGTTGAAGGGAAATCTGTGGGCACGTTCAGGAAACTTCCATTTTAAGTTGTCACTGCAGAAAGGTAAGTGATGTTTTGTGCTAGAGGTCAGCCTTTATCTGTAGCCAGTGCTGTGCTGGTAAACAGTTAACAACTGACTCTCCAAAAAATAGCACTTGCTGACTTTCAAAGAATCAGTATGTCCACCATGGCTGATTTCATCTACCAAGACAGTATCACTGAACGTGGAGCTAACACGCAATGAGGTTGCACACCACCATACACGCACAACAGACACAAGTAACCTAAGAGCATAAGTGTTACTAAAATAGAGGAAACTAATTAGGAAATCATGAATTTGGATGTTTATCACCTTTGTTTTTCATAGATGTTATTTAGTCAAAAGTTTATATAATTTAGCTTTTTATTAGTATCTGTACTGAACAACCACCTCACAAAATTCATGACAAGTTAATCATCAGCTCTTTCAAGCTCATACCAGTCATTTCCAACACTGACTAGATTTTTAAGATGAAAATTTACTGAAAAATAACTTTCAAATTCCCTTTTTTGGGGATGGGGGACTTTCAAAAAGTCCTCACAAGACAACTGCCACTAAAAGCAACATTTGAAAAAATTCTACTCAACTGAAGTTCAGTGCCAAGAAGTAGACAAAGTAAACAGGTAAATAAGCCTGAATCTTAAGACTTTCTAAAGCATGTATTCTATAGCATGTATCCCAGTAATATTTACCCATCTGTTTTTATAAATATTATTATAGTCTATTGTGTGCATGTCTAATTTTTCATCCTAAAAATTCCCGAGTCTCTCTGGACCTATGTTATTGACTACTTCTACCTAAAGTAGGCCGACAATTTCTCCCGCAGTATCTAAGTAACTACAGGACAGAAAAGGCTAGCAAATATGCTTAACTGGTACTTCCACAAATATTGCCAACTAATACTCAAAGAGTATTTTGCGTACCATAAGGGATGCTACAGCTTTTCTGTACTTTCTCACTTAATTCTCTCAACTGTTCTTATCTGTACTTTACTGAGGTGCAAACTAGGGTTCTGAGCAGTATAAGCACACGACTGGGTAAGCAGTGGAGCCATGCTACTTAAGGCTCAGGCATGCTGCCTCCACTCATGAATACTACAGGCATCACCCAATCGTCCTTCACACTTTGCTGAGATCAATACTTGTCCCATACACAAAAGATGCTACACTTATTTAAGCCAAATTTATGAAGACTTCACAAAATAATTTCCAAATTTTAAGACCCAAATGAAAACCAGTACAAGATGAACTGGAATACAAATGTAAAAAAACTGGAGAGATCTACAATTTTCAAATGGAAATATTCTGCAATTATTACACTGATTTCCAGGACAGTTATTTTCTAGAATTTTTTTTCAAGGAAAAAGAGACATAAAATTGCTATTGCAATAAATTGCATTATAGAATTGCTGGAGAGAAAGCTATTATATGAGAAAACAAAGACATTCACTAAAGGGTATTAGAATAACTGAATAATAGGGAAAAGAATTCTGTTTAAATACTCATTTCATGTTACCTACCAAAATAAGACCTTAATAGATGAAGCACATTTAAAAAGTCATACTCTAAAAATTAAAAGAAAATACAAATGAAATATGCTTAAACATTTAGATGGATGGACAAGCAAATTTTAAGCTTGATAGAGTTAAAAGAAATCACACTAAAAACTACAGAGGTTCTTCCATTCTATGTGAAGTAGTATATCATTTTGAAGGTAGACCATGAACAAAGACACATCTGACAAACATGGAAGAACTTTTAAAAAATAAAACTGATAAGCCTCCAGCTCATCAAGGAAACAAATGGAAATAAGATACAAATTACCCTTATCAGACATGGATTTCAGGACATCACCAGAGATAATAAGAGAAAATCAGAAACAAATTAATGTCAATAAATTCAACAGTTTAGATAACATGGAGAAATCCCTTAAATGATGCAAATCACAACTAATTCAAGAAAAAAATATCTATATCTTTTAAAGAAACTGATCACTAAAACGATTCCAACAAAGAAAAATCTAAGCCCAAGTATATGTAAGGCTTCACTGATTAATTCTATCAAATAGGGGATAAATAATACCAACCCTACAAAACTCTGAAGAAAATAGAGAAGGGAACATATGTCAAGTCATTCATGGCGTCAGCATTACCTGGGTCCAAAACCAGATGAAGATATGACAAGAAAGAGGCTACAGGTCAACATCCCTCATGGCACTGATTTTAAAATCCTCAACAAAATAGTGATAAATTGAATCCAATAACACAGATAAAATAATAACTCCTGACCAGGTGGAGTTTATCTCAGGAATGCAACACTGAAGAATTGTATAGTATCTGAACAATCAATGAATATAGTCTGACACATCAACAAAAAAGAAGGGAGTCATATGAAAACTATTTTTAAAAAAAAACTTCTAAAAGAAACATAGTGGAAAAAGTTTGCAACCTGTCGTGAGTCAAATGGTCTTAACTAGGATATTTCTAAAAACCATGAAACAAATTGAAAACTATATTTCATTGAATTTAAAACTTCTATTTTTGATGGACACCATTAAGAAAATGAAAAAGCAAGTCATAAATTGAGGGGAAAATACTTGCAATGTGTGTATTCAACAAAGAAACTGTATGCAGAATATAGCACTTCACCAAAAAGGGTATGGGAATGGCCAGTAAGTTACATGGAAAGATGCTCAACATTATTAGCCATCATGGAAATGCAAGTTAAACCCACAATGATATACCACCTCCTATTTATTAGGTTGGTTAAAAGTAAAAAGACTGATAATATCAAGTTTTAACAAGAATGTAGAACAACTGTTCTATATTGATGGTGAGGGTATAAAATGGTACAGCCATCTTAGAAAACAGATTTGCAGCTTTTAATAAACTCAAACATACATTTGCCATTTGACTTACCAATTCCATTCATAGATATCTACCCCAAAGAAACATGTATTCACACAAAGACTGTACATGAATGTTCATAGCAGCTGTATTCATAATCGTACCAAACTGGAGACATACATCAACCAGAGACTAGATAAACAAACTGAAGTATGCCTCTCCAATAGAATACTCATTAGGAACAAAAAAGAACAAACTACTGATGCACTGGATAACTCTAATAAATCTCCAAATCATAATCTTCAAGGAAAGAAGGCAACACAAATGAGTACATACAGCATGGTTTCATTTACATCAACTCTAGGAAAGACAAATTTAACCTTGAGTCACCAAAAGGACATCAGTGATATGGGGGATTAACTTCAAAGAGGCACAGGAGAACGTCCAGGGGTGTCGGAAACATTCCACGTCTTGACTGCAGTGGTAGTGTTTCCACCAACTGGATACTTAGGTGGGTGCATTTTATTGCAGGAAACAAAGTTGATTTAAAACGTGAGTTAAACAGAATGGGTTCAGATGCAACAGCACAAGCTCTGACAGATTGCCGTAAGTGTATAAACTGGCAGAGTATGTTTGGAAAGCAGGTTGTCAGTAGAGACTTCAGCCATTCACCAGGTAATTCTACATGTAGAAATCTATTCTGGGTAATAAGCTTCATGTGAAGGGATGCTACAGCCTGCTATTTTGTGATCATAAAGAACTGAAAAGAAAAACACAAGCCCTCCATGTCAGACAATAGGGAGTGGTTAAGAAGATTATGGATGAGCCAAGGGAGAGACCATTTTGGAGCTACAAAGAAATGGTATTTCTAAAGAATTTTCAGTAATATGATAAACTACTTATGTCAACACATTAAATGAGAATTAAATGAAAATTATGCCTAATCTAATAACTTAAACTCATAAAACAGGAATTATGAGACTAGAAAAAATACAACAATCATATTTCTAGGTGATAAAATTGTAATTTTTTCTTTATTCAGTTTCATATTTTCCAAATAGTCTGTACTTTGTGAAAATTATGTTTATAATAAAATTGTTTTATTACAAATATAATAAGAGCTAGTATTAAATGTTCAATGTACCATGTAACTTTTATGTAACAATTTTGAGGTCTGATTTCATATTTCACAAGAGTTAATTTATCATGGTGAAAGTTCTCTCTATAAAGGGATCCCAAAGAAACAATAAGGAGTTTTCCATAGAAATTCTCGAGTAAAAACAAATCATTTAACAGTGCAAACCAGCAACGTTAGGTGGCATGAGCGCTCCAGATGCTAAACCACAAAGCATAACACTTGCCTGAAAAGAGCTTTGAGATTTTCTGGTAATTCAGTTCGACCAGCATATCCTGGGTTCATAGTGATAAATATTCCGACTGATGGCTTCAGTATGATAGCTTCGCCAAGAAATACAAATCTACCAGAAGAAGAATGCTGATGGAATTAAATGTGTTCATTGAATATCAATGCACATTGACAAATGCAAACCACTGCAAAATGCAAATTATTATTAGGAAGCTGTTTATGCTGTGTAATTTTCTTTAAAATTCATAAGCATACATATTTTGAATATCTTGAAGCATGTTTATTAAAAATACACTCCCTTCCCCCAAAGGAATTACAAGTATGGCAAGTATTCCTTTGTTATTTTAGCATGGCAACAGTGTGCAAGAATATAAAAATGAGGACTTGACTATTTTAACAGTTAATGAAAGGTGATGCCATCTTTGACTTCAACATGGGCTGCAATTTCTTGAATGTGATGTAGTACGGATGGAGAAAGTCCAGCTCAGAGAAGGAAGGGACTTTTTGTTCAGTCGTTACCTTGTCTGTGTGCTCACCCTCCATCTCTCCCTCCCTCCCACTTATTCAACAAGTATCTACTGACCACCATTGAGAGGTGGGATTCCCAGGTGGCACTAGTGGTAAAGAACCCGCCTGCCAATGCAGGAGACATAAGAGATTGTGGGTTCGATCCCTGGGTTGGGAAGATCCCCTGGAGGAGAGGACATGGCAACTCACTCAAGTATTCTTGCCTGGAGAGTCCCATGGACAGTGAGGTGTGGAGGGCCTCAGTCCATGGGGTCACACAGAGTCAGATACTTCTGAATACTGTGGTGCTTATGACAGCTAGCTCTGGGGCCAGACTGGGAGCATTCAGAGACCAGATGTATCACTTTAGGCATATTCCATTCCCACATCCAATACAAAAGGCGGGGAAGATAAAAATAATATTATTGGATTATATGATGGTTAAAAGAGATTATGTATACAAATGGCTAAGAGTACAGTGTCTGCATTTATGTGCGTGCCTGCTTATCTGCTCAGTCATGTCCAACTCTTGGCGACTTCATGGACTGTAGCCTGCCAGGCTCCTCTGTCCATGGGATTTCCCAGGCAACGATGCTGGAATAGGTTGCCATTTCCTCCTCCAGGGGATCCTCCCGACGCAGGGATCAAACCCATGTCCCCTGCATTGGCAGGCGGATTCCTGACCACTGAGCCACTAAGGGAGACTGTACAGTGCCTGGAGCATGGTAAATACTCAACAGATGTTAGTTACGACTACGGCTATGTTCAGAAAGCTTTAACAGGCCCATTAGGCTGTTGAAGGCCAGGGAGATGGAGCATAAAGGCCTGTAGGAACCAAATGGAAGGACAAGCTGAAGGGAAAAACTTTGCCATGGGGGTAAACGAAACAGCCCCTTCATGGAGCACTGTCCTGTGGCAAAGGAGCTTGCGTAACTCAGTGAAGCTATGAGCCATGCCATGTAGAGCCACCCAAGGTGGTCAGGTCATAGTGGAGAGTTCCACTGGAGGAGGGAATGGCAAACCACTCCAGTATACGTGCTGTGAGAGCATCATGAACAGAAATAGCAACAACCTCAGATATGTGGATGATGCCACTCTGATGGCAGAAAGTGAAGAGGAACTAAAGAGCCTCTTCATGAGGTTGAAGCAGGAGAGTGAAAGAGCTGGCTTAAAACTAAATATTAAAAAAAAAACTAAGATAATGGCATCTGGCCCCATTACTTCATGGCAAATATAAGGGGAAAAGGTGAAGGAGTGACAGATTTCCTCTTCCTGGGCTCTAAAATCACTGAGGATGGTGACTGCAGCCATGAAATCAGAACGACTGCCTCTTGGCAGAAAAGCTATGATAAACCTAGACAGCATGTTGAAAAGCAGAGACATTACCGAAACGGACCGACAAAGTCTGTTTAGTCAAGGCTATGGTCCTCCCGGTGGTCACGTACGGCTGTGAAAGCTGGATCACAAAGAAGGCAGAACACCAAAACTTGATGCCCTTGAACTGTAGTGCTTGAGAAGGCTTCTCAAAGTCCCTTGGACAGCAAGGAGATCCAACCAGTCAATCTTAAGGGAAATCAACCCTGAATACTTATTGGAAGGACTGATGCTGAAGCTCCAGTATTTTGGTCACCTGATGCGAACAGCTGACTCATTGGAAAAGTTCCTGATGCTGGGAAAGATTGAGGGCAGAAGGGGAAGAGGGTAACAGAGGATGAGATGGCTGGATGGCATCACCAGTGCAGTGGGCATGAACTTGGGCAAACTTCGGGAGATGGTGAGGGACAGGGAGGTCTGGCGTGCTGCAGTCCATGGGGTCGGAACCAGTCAGACACGACTGGGCGACTGAAAAACAGCAGCAGCAAATAAAACACATATAAGGCTTTCTCTTGTTGAGAAACTGCAGGGCTGAAGTGGTGAAGGACCTGAGCCTCCATCATCAAATACAAGAGGGATAAGAGAATGCCAATTCTCTAAGGACTGTTTCTTAGATGCTAGACAATGACAAGGAGGTGGACTGTATATAGTCAAGGTACAAATGGAGAAATCTTCATTCCCAGAGGGTCGGGCTGGGGAAGGCAGACAGGCCTGGCAGGCAGCTATGGAAGCAGGACAGGGGGGTGGCTGAGTGCCCTGCCATCACTCACAGCAGGGACAGCCACGGGTCAAGGGCAGGGACCTCGGGGTGCGGGGGTGCAGGGAGACAGCAACATGCTGGAAGCCTTTGTGGCTAGGCATGGTCTCACCTCTCAAATCCTCAAACGAAAAGAGAATGCCATTGAACTCAGGAAATCATGAAGGAACCTAGCAGTCTGTACATGGGCCAGCATGAGGATGACCAGCTCACATATATGCACGCAGAGATGGAGAAGACTCTGGTTGGGAATTTTCACAAGTCCTTACATTGGTCAGTTATCTCACTCTCTGTAAAAAAGGATGGCCTCAAAGGCATCTGGGTTATATTGAATAAGGAGATTTTGACTAAACACTAAATCAAATGTCTGGAAACCACAGGGGAATAACCTTACTTCTATAGCATACCATTAGATCAGGGGCAGGCAAGGCAGCAGACACCTGGTCACAGGAACCTGTTTTCCCAGAGCCATGTGGCAGAAGGACCGAGAATTTTCCTACAAGGTAGAAATATTCAGATGTATCTAAAATAACTGGAAACTTCTGTAGTTGCTTCACAGTTTCAAGGGACTGGATGATCCTTCCCTAATGGGAGACTGACATTTTTACGGATAAAAGCTAGCTGAGCAAAATACCCTAAAAATGGGCATCAAAGGGTAGGCCAGATACATGAGATGGCAATTTATACAAAAAATGGTACGAAGAAAACCACAATTGGGTACTGCAATACTGATTTCCCAAACAAATCCATCAAACCCTAAGTACCACTCATGTTCTGAGTGTGGCATCAAGTTATGAAGTGATTAGGTTCTAGATCTATTTGACCCAAATAACTGGAAGAATGTGAGGGTGTATTCTACTAGGATAAGATAACTAATAATGCAGGTGTTAGTGCAAGGACAAAGATTTTGACTTTGGATCTATTAAATATGACAGGCCAATAAGACTTCTAATTGAGTCCTAAGACGCCCCAAGACAATCGCTGACATTGTCTATGTAAGTCTAGATATCAGAGAAAGGAGATCTGGGCAGCCAATAGGCAGCACCATCGACATGGCATTGAAAGCCATGAGACTAAATAAAATGGTCAAGGGATGAATAGAGATAGAAAAAAGAAGAGACCCAAAGATTGTGACATCCTAAAGGAATGTCAGTCCTAAAGGAAAATCAACCCTGAATAATCATTGGAAGGACTGATGCTGAAGCTCCAATACTTTGGCCACCTGATGCAAAGAAAGACTGAAGGTAGGCAGAGAAGGGGGCGACAGAGGATGAGATGACTGGATGGCACCACCAACTCGATGGACATGAGTTTGAGCAAACTCTGGGAGATAGTGAAGGACGGGGAAGCCTGGCGTGCTGCAGATCATGGGGTCACAAATAGTTGGACATGACTTAGCAACTGAACAATAACACTGACATGGTGCTATGTGTCAGGCACTTGCCCAAGTGCTCTGCATTTAATTCTCACGATAATAAAAAGTTGGATACTAGGCTTCCCCTCATTTTATAGTCAAGAAGAAATCAGCAAATGAGCAGCCCTGAGGATGAGGGAAAACTGGGAGGATGTGGGATCTTGGAACCTATGTGAAGAAAGTGTATCACGTAGAAGGGAAAGATGGTGTCAAATGCTGCCAGAAGGTCAAGTAAGATCAGGACTGAGAATTGATAATGGGATTCAGTGTTTCAGAAAGTGTTTATTCTTTAAGTAATTAAAGTAATGTGATACACCTTTCTTGTATTCAATGCTCAAACACCACTGCAAAGACATGGGGGTTATTCAAAATAATTCTTCACAATTAACCAGTCACTCTCATTCTATCCATCTCATGGGACAGGGAGAGGCAGTCAGAGGCTGTGGAGGTGAGGTTTCCTCCATTGCTGCATGGAGCTCTTTCTACTTGGACCAACAGGAAGAAGCCACATGCCGCTCACCTCTGCTTCCTGTTTCTGAGGGCATCGTGTATCGTTTTCACTTGCACTGACACCACTGACAGAACTTCCACGGAGATTCGATTGAACTCGTCAAAGCAGCCCCAGGCTCCTGTCTGCACCAACCCCTTATAGATATTTCCTATGGACTAAACGATGGAGTGAGGCATTAAGAATTTATTAACAGAAAAGAGTTTTAAGGTATTAGTTTGAATCATTCCAGATGAGGAATAATACTACGAGGCTGTATCATTTTATAACTTACTTTGTAGTCCATTTGCTCTGAACAGTTGAATACATAAACCATCATGCCAAGGGCACGGCCAAGATCTTTCGTGGTTTCTGTTTTCCCTGTACCAGCCGGGCCAGCTGGAGCCCCGCTCATGGTGAGATGAAGGGATTGAGTTAAAGTAATGTAACACCTTTAAGCAAAAGAAAAGACAAGTATTACAATTTTATATGAGATTCCTATAAAAAGTGAAGGACAATGCAATATTTTTTTTAAGTTTAAGAAGCTATGGTCCAGAATGTAGCTGTAATACAAAATGTTGACATACCTCTGATTTTGTTCATGGTAAGAGTCAATAATATTTTATCAAATTTAATTTCAGGTTGGCTGTTTAAAAATAATAGAGAAAAAGACATTGCTTTGTCTCATTTCGGAAGAGCTGTGTATTTGAATACAAATGACACTTAATTTGTAATGCTCTTGAATTTCTGATATTTCTAGGCAAACATACTATTAATATGGCAGACAACATTTCAAAATATTGTTTATAAAAGAAAAATAGGAATCTTGGATGATGAAGAATTAAACACTTCATTTTAATAAATACATTAAGAGATGAGATGTACAAATATATATAAATACAAAGCATGCAGATAATATGTACCTATTTCACTGCACAAAGCAAATATGACAAAGACAATTTATCATATTAAAACATATTCAGGAATTCATTTCGAATGTGTTGTTACGTGTGTTTAGACTATGATAATACTTATTTTTGCAGGAAAGATTCAGAGTCCTTAGCCTAAGGAAAAATATGCTAAGACAGAATTTAACACTTGTAAAAGAAGGAAAACTAATACCTGGCCAGGACCTAAGATGGGGTTTCTGCAGATTCATGAATTATCTTTGTTTTAGTATAGATAGTGGATCTAGTGGGGGTACCCAGGACCAGTGTCTACTCTGCCATTAATCAAATGTTAACCTTAAATTGCATTTATGACATCAACCTGCCTCAGTTTTTTCCTCCATAAAATGAGGTTTATTATAGGGTTATATTAAGAAAGCCAACTCAATGAGGTGGCCAACTGGTAAAAGCAATGGATGGCTAAGAAAGCCAAAGATGAATGCTTTAAAAAATTCAAAGTACTATGTAAACTGAAGTAATTACTTATGGAAATTGTAAGAGTTCCTATATTTTACAGCCATAACATTTCAGAGCAGCTTACAATGAATATGGAGTTGAAAGATCCCTGGCCTAGGAATTAGAGCACTTTTTCTAGTGCAGACTATGCCCTAGCACTCTTCTCCTGTGGTTCCAAGTTCCACTGGACCTACCAGCACCTATATGCTACAGACTACATTTTCTCCCTGCCTTCCAGCCAGGAGCAGCCAAGTGACCAAGCTCCAACCAGTGTGACATGCACCGAAATGAGCATGCACACCCTAGGATGCCTCCTTTGAGATGTTTTTCCCCTTTTCCACGAAATGAAACAAGCGTTCAAGCCACGTGTAGCATGTTGGCCGCCAGGAAGCCAATACTGTTGAACCACCCTCCTCGGGAATGTCACCCAACTGAGACCCCAGCTTCCATGCTATTGAAGCCCTTGTATTCTGGGTCTTTCTATAACAACAGCTTAGCCTGCACCCCAGGAAACAGTCCACCTATGTCCCAGCCCAAGTCTCTCAGTTACAAACTGGGTGACCTGGGTCTCTAAACCCACCCACACAGGGGAGAAGGAGATGATATTTTTCCGGCCTACCGCACCAAGGGAAGGTCAACACCAAACAGGACATAATGGGAGTATTTGCAAGGTATCATTGTGTTAATGTAAACTATTAATAAATAATCCCGAGAATGAAATGGGAAATGTACATGTGAACATCTTATACAGCCCTATTCACTCTATAAAAGGAATATTAATCTTCCTTTTTACTTCCAAATAAAGCTCATAGTGATTTTCAAATTGGAAAGTTAATATGCTATTGGTCCTCACTATTGACAGACTTTAAAACACCTCTTCCCTTTTGTCCTGTATCCTGTATTCTTCTCTATTTACAATGGCACGGATACAGCTCATTCTAGGCATTTGCAGTTTTGATGATACAAGTGATTTTGTCAGGCTACAAATTTTAATTTCTCAAACTGAAAGCAGTACATAAAGTAACTAGATAGTGAACACTGACTTTAGTTAGAGGCAAGTTAAAGAGAATTGAACTAGAGAAACAATTATAGAAGCCTTATGATTTATCAATGACACAGTCACAAGTAGATTAATATGTTTAAGAACAATCCCAAAGCTAATAAGGGAATTCCACCAATCTCCCAGGGTCACCATTACCACCCCAGCTCGACAGACAGACTTGAAGCTGTTTGCACTTTCATTCCCAGGTAGCTTATATGGCATGGTGATAACTGGGTAATTGGGAATATTAGTATGATCTTGAGGTCTGATTTCTCTTTCATTAATGCCAAAGACTAAATATGCTTTCTCCCATCAAATAATTCAGCAGAGGTTGGAATACTAACAAAGAATTTCAGGTCAGTGTGACATATCCTTATCTCTACAACATTCTGACTGTGTGTCTCTATCACCTTGGAGTCAGGTGGCAATGAACTTTTAAGAACCCCGTGCTCCTTTGGCGCACTTGAGCCACACTGGGCTCTGTCTCTATCCCTTGAAGCAGCCAGGCTCCTTTCCATCTTAGAAACTGTGTACTTGTCTTTACCTGTAACTGTCTGGCCCAGGATGTTTGCCTTGCTGGTTCCCTGTTAACATTTGAGTCTTGGCTTCCCTGTCCTCTCACAATCTATAGCACTTCAAGACACTTTCTAATATATCAGCCTGTATTATTTTTGTCATAGCATATGAACAGCCGACTCATCTGAAAAGACCCTGATGCTGGGAAGGATTGAGGGCAAAAGGAGAAAAGAACAGCAGAGGATGGGGTGGTTGGATGGCATCACTGACTCAATGGACATGAACTTGGGTGAACTCTAGGAGATGGTGAGGGACAGGGAGGCCTGGCGTGCTGCAGTCCACGGGGTCACAAGGAGTTAGACATGACTTAGCGAGTGAACAACAAGACTCCAAAAGTATTACGCCCTAACACAGCCCTGTTAATCTGTTTACCATTCCTCTCTGTTCCCAGGCACTCACAAGCCACACTCCCCTAGACAGTGTGCTTTGTAAGAGCAGGAATCCTGCCCGTTTGATCCTGGGACCGTCCTCAGCACAGTGCTTCAGAAGTACTGTATCTGCTGAACCATTCCTGTTCTCCCTCTTTTCTTCCTTCACTATATATAAATTCAGAAATGAATTTATCACAGGCAGTTCTTCTTTTAACACTTTCAGCAAAAGGATGCAGTGGGAGAAATGGTTAGAAACCAGGATAATAGGGTGTCAGCCATAAATAACCAGAATGAATAGACTCTGAGATCAAAGACACTGCCTTGAGCCATATTAACGGCCCATGATTTCATGATGTTTCTACCACATAGCACCTGTCATTATGCTTTTCTAATTTGGTTCTCTTCCTTGTCTCTAACAAAAACATACACTGTGTCACTCAATTAATGCATTTCCATACTGCTTTCATAGAGTTTCCCTATTTGTTCCACATTTTCCTGCAATCCTTTATTTTCAGCCATCTGAAAATGATTATTGTGAGATGCCTTTACCCATGCTAGGGGACTTCTTTTGACTCGGCTTTTCCCATCCGACTCCAGCTTGCCATTGTTACCTGTCAGTTAGAGGCGTGATCACAAGTCGAGGGCTGTTTCCTAAATATTCATAGAAGTACTGGAACTGGGCATCACAGATATTTACGAGACAATGTTTCTGGGTGTCCTCCCACCGGTGACGGAGCTGAGAGCGCCACGCAAAAGCCTGGGGGGTGACGACCTGAAGACATCATGCGATCACTACACACACACACTGAGAGATTTAAGGCCGCAGATGCAATCTAGTAATTAACTGCTGAGTCACATTTTACTCCTAAAAAATCTCACAAAAGGGAAATCTCTTGCATGCTACTGCAAATTGTAATTGCACGTAAATGGTTGAATACTTAATCAGAAATATGTGTGTAATAAAAGTCTTCATTTTAAGAAGGCTATTACTGTAAAACAACATCAGTTTCTTGATGCAATGCTTCTTCCCCTTTACTGAATCACCCTAGGGGATTGGATCACTTTTGTGACTTTATATTCATATCAGTGAAATCAGGCGGAAAAAGCACATAATCCATTATTTCAGTATGTCAGAGGTATAAACAAACTACACTTTCAACCAAGTCCATTCTAAGACTGTTTTGCTTTTATTAGAGATTTCCACTCCATTTTTCATTAGGCCAAACAGCAGTATTTTTTCATTGCCATTATTTATTATTTTACTCAATTCTATTCATTCTTTCCCAGTTTGAAAAATAATTCCAGTCTCTTTCAAGATACAGTGTGACCCAAGGATTTCCTAGGAATCACCTGAAGTTACCAAAATTATCATCTGATCATTGTCTGATATCTTCCTGAGTCTCAGCATTGCATACCAAATAAGCAGGAATTAGACAAAGTCTTTATCTCTTTAAGTACAAAATAAAGAACACATTTTAAACTAAAACTTCTCCTGCTGCAAGCAAACCATCACTGATTAAAAAAAATGATAAAATATGCAAGGTCATATTCAAAGAGTAGTTATCAATGGCTCATCATCAAAATGAGAACACATGGTAAGAGTATTTTGCAAGGATAAGTTTTAGATTAGGATTTAAACAACACTATTCAGTATGTGTCCTGAAGCTGGATCAAGAAGTGTTTCTTCTTATGTTTGCACACGAGGAAGCATTTGTTTGCACTTTATGGAAAGAATTAAAATTCATTTTGATTTTAATAAATTGAGAAGGAACTAGGAAAACAACAGAAAATATGTCACAATATAAGCATACCCTCAAACCATGAAGGTAATTACCACCCTAAAAAAAAAAAAAGAGAGATTTGGAAAAAGTAGTTTTATGGGCATGGTATGTCAGTTTTGTTCACTAGATGATTGTATTTCTGACATTTTAAGGAGGAGTCTATTTTGAAAAAAGGATGAGTTATTCTCCTTCCACATTAAACCCTGGGGGCATCAAAGAGATACAGGAACTTTTTAAAGAGATAAGGAAAGAAGGTAAACAATGCATTGAAAGGAATAGAAAGTAACTTCTTTAAAAAAAAAAAAAGTAATTTAGCTTGGAATGGAAAAGACAAAGGGTGGCCAACATTTCTTTTTCTTCAAAAAGAAAATAATCAAAGGCACACAGAGATGATTGAGGTGCCCACAATCTTACTGCTATTGGCGGGATAAGCCACCGAGGTGGTTACCACAGGCCAATGGGCCAAGATGCCCATGTGTAAAGAAGCCACAAAACACGGAAATGAACACATGACTTCTTGTGGTTCCCACATCCTGGCTTAATTTTTGGATGATCTGAATTAGAGGAGGCTTACGTGGCCAAATCCACGGGGATATCACTTGGGGTAACTCTTTTAAGGATAATATATTTGCTAACCCATATGAAATGTATCCAAAGTAAGTACAACCAATTTCTTTGGACTAATCAAATATACCAACTTAAAAAAATTGCCTTCTCAGAAATATTTTTTACAAAAACACCACTTTTAGTAAAGAGCAAAAAATACATGAAATCTCTACAACTTGCCTTCTGAGAAATAAGTTTTGCCACCACATCTCTGGCATGGACATCTATGGTACAAATTGTCATGATCTTCTGCCTGTCTCCAGGTAGAAGTTCTCCCAGCAGAAGTGCAATCAGTGTATTCAACTGAGAAATCTAGAAGGAATTTTTTTAAAGGAGGTAAGAATTACAAATACAGAATTTTATAGCCCAACAGTCTTTATAATTGTAAAAAGCCCTTTAGTTTACAAAACTATTTCAAACACATTGTCCCAGCTGGCCCTCAAACAACTATAGGGGTAGGAGTAGAGCGGAAGGAAGGGATTTAATTAATTAATTAATAGAGAATAAATATTATTACTGCCCCCTGCCCCCTAACTCCTGAGCTACAACTCCAAGAAGACAGGTCAACCTGCAGGTAATGACAAAGCCAGACAAAGAAGCAAAGTTTCCTGGATGCAGTGACCTATCCACATAACCATGATCTAGTCTATAACTTCGGTGGAATAGAAATGACTATAAAATTTTAAAAGGTCACATCGAGCTAGCTTCTGTCAAAGTATAGCAAGAATTAAATACAAAGTGCTTTGTTTGATTGGTTGGTTTTCTGTTTTGCATGTTTTTGCATGGAATAGAGGATGATTACTGAGAAAAGCTTTCTAATGTATGGCTGTAGACTGCTGCACTTAAATCTTTTTCATATCCCTGGTGCTTCCCTGGTAGCTCAGCTGGTAAAGAATCTGCCTGCAATGTAGGAGACTCTGGTTTGATTTCTGGGTTGGGAAGATCCGCTGGAGAAGGAATAGGCTGCCCACTCCAGAATTCTTGGCTTCCCTGGTGGCTCAGCTAGTAAAGGATCTGCCTGCGATGTGGGAGACCTGGTTTGGATTCCTGGGTTGGGAAGATCCCTTGGAGAAGGGAACAGCTACCACTCCAGTATTCTGGCCTGGAGAATTCCATGGACTGCATAGTCCACAGGGTCCCAAACAGTTGGACATGACTGAGCGACTTTCACTTTTCACTTTCATATCCCTGGTGGCGGTGGTTTAGTCACTCAGTCATGTCTGATTCTTTGTGACCCCATGGACTGCAGGCCATCAGGCTCCTGTGTCCATGGGGTTTCCCAGGCAAGAATACTTAAGTGGGTGCCATTTTCTTCCCCAGGGGATCTTCCCCACCCAAGGATTGAACCCAGGTCTCCGGCATTGCAGGCAGACTTTTTACCATCTGAGTCATCATGGAAGCCACATTCATATCCCTATTTTTGCCTAAATAAGAGTTGTCTGGTCCAGGAATTTCTGAGATCAATATATTTCAAACTACTGGTCTCTCTTCCTAGAATGGAAAGAATTGGAATGGAATTACATGGAATATAAAGAAATAAGGATGCTGCATTATAGTAGTAAGAACATGAATTGCTTTATGAAAATTATTTCAGTGTATACAGATGTGTGTAAATTAGATCTAATATAAACTATTTCTTAATGTTAATCATGGGCAGAAAGGTTTGATGGATACTGTCTTAGGTGGTCATTTTGTTAGCATGCTTATTTGCATAAAACATTCTGGTCTTACTCAAGGCTTATTAACAACAGCAGCAACAAAAACCTGCCTTATTCCAGGGTAGCTTATTACAACACAATACCGTCCCCTTTCCTTTACAGCTCTGCAAAGGACAGTCAATGACAAACCATTAGATCCTAAAGGAATTGGTTGCAAGTGAATATATTGCATCACTAGAGGCTCTCAAACCTTTACTATCAAAAACAGATTCCCTTTAGTACCACATTCCAGAAAGCACCAAATAGTGCAGACTGCCCCGAGACTGCTGTGAGCTAAAGGGCAGAAGGTTCTATAGGTACAGCACGCATGGAGAAGGCAGGCAGGAAAACAATAACCACAGCACGCACAGTTCACAGTAAATCAGAGTGCACGATGCACCAGGCACCAAGGAGGGCTATTGTCTATATTATCTCATTTAATCTTCACAACACTCTTAGTATTCTCATTTTGCAGGTAAAAGACAACTGACTCATAGGCATATTAACCACAACTGCCAAACGGGGCAGAGGGGGAAATTCAAATCCAGACAGTCTGACTTCAGAGTCTGAGTTCTTACTGACCACATCACAAAGACTCCCTGTACCAGCCTCCACAAGACCAATCCACCCACCACTTTCAAGTTGGAAAAGCAGTGGTTATGCAAAAAGCATTCCAGAGAGACTTAAAATCAAACACAATGAATAGTTGGTTCAAAGGAATAAAGACATGTCCTTGAGACATCCAGTCTTATAGCATTAATACTTTTCATATTCTACATCCAAAAAATGTAGTTACATGGTAACAAAAACAGAGGTGATTATTAGTTCATGCCTGCCACATTCAGTGTTCATCATACCCCGCTTCTAGGTTCCACAAGGGCAAGGTCTGTGCCTGTCTAGTTGAGAGCTTTGTCCCCAGGGCCACTGGGGAATAGGTGGTGAAAAGTAGGTGCTCAATGCATGTTTGCTGAGTAAACGAGTGAAGGAAGAGTAGGAGTCTACACACATGTATCTTTCTCAGCAAAATTTATCATGATTGTTAGAAAAGTGGTATTTCAGCATTGGATATTTTCCCATCTTGGCCAAGATACCCGGTCTGGAGAGTCCCAAATCTTACACCAGTACCAGAATTTGGTTAAAAAGAGTTGATTATAACAACAGAAATAACATATATAACACACATATGTACATATATATATAACATATAACATATATATATAACATATAACAATATAACAACAGTTTATGTCTCTTAAGAAAATTTATAATTTCAAGTCCTTTCACAAGCACTGTCTTGTCTGAGCCTTTCTGTGATCTCTCCATTATTGATCTCTCCTTTTTTCTTTTACAAAAGTTCAGTCAAGTGACAGGTGATTAAAAATACAGCTTGTCAATGTTATGCGAGACTTCCCTGGTGGCATCATCGACTCAATGGACATGAGTTTGAGCAAACTCCAGGAGATGGTGAAAAGACAGCGAAACCTGGCATGCTGCAGTCCATGGGGTCGCAAAGAGTTGGACACGACTGAGAGGCTTAACAACAACAAATACATAAGGCAACACAGGAGGAACATTTTCCTTGTAGCAGCAGAAACACTGCAATTTTACCAGCATCAAGGGAACTGAAAACTTTTCAATTTAGGCACACTCAAGTCATAGTGGCAAAGAAGCTGGAAGAGCCCTTCTGTAGAAACATTAAAATCTGGAGCTTGTAAGTCCTCAGCTCAGCAAGTTGAAGTGAACATTATAAGGTAACAACAATAGCACTTTGGAAGCCAACTACCAGAACCCTCAAAACTCCTTCCAGCTGGACAAACACAGAAGTAATACTGTGTTTCTTAACAATAGCTATAAGGATCTCTAATCCTGAAACCCACCAATGTTTTAACTTTAGCAATATCAGAAAAAATGGATTTTCATTTACTGAGAACAAAGAAAATTGCCAGAGAAACCAGATCCCACACTTTCTGATACTATCAAGTCTGTGGAACCCCAGTTCATCACCTTCCTCTGCACTATTCATTTCTTACTTCTCCTTCAATTATATCACAAAAACCATCACAATACTGATCAGTGAATGTCGGAGACAGTGAGCATAATTACCCTGTTCCTGACATTAATGACAATGATGCTAATGTTTCACCATTAAGCATGATTTTCTCTAAGTTTCTGATAGATAATCTTCATCAAGTTTTCAGTTTCCTTTCAGATGCTTTATAGTAAAAGAAAAAGGTGTAAAAATCAATAAACTCCCACCTTAAGATACTTGAAAAAGAGGAGCAAATTACAGTCGAAGTAAGTAGATGAAAGGAAGTCATCAAGATAAAACAGAAATCAGTGAAATACAAACAAACAATAGAGAAAACCAACAGAGATTAGTTTTTTTTGAAAACTTAAATAAGACCGATGAACATACAGAAAGTCTGATTACAAACAAAGGAGAGAAAACATAAATTACCAGCCAGGAATGAAAGAGGGGCGCAAAGCCAGACCCTCCAGATATGCTAAGGATGATGTTGGTAAAGGACGACCTACTCACATCAGTCAAGTCTGCAAACTTAGCTCTGGGTGGATGGACCTTCCTCAGCAAAGGGCCAGACAGAAAAGGCAGCCTCTGAGGGCTGCATGGGCTCTACTGCCTCACCACCACTTGTAAGACCAGCGCCAGCTGAGAGCAGCCAAACATCTGCAACCAGGCCAGACGTGGTCGGACGGCTGTAATCTGCCAGGTCTGGACTGAGGTTAAAAACGGGTTAATACCTTGAAAAACACAAATTCCCAAAGCCGGCACAAGAAAAACAAACAAACAAAAAAGCTACACAACGGCATGTATATAAAAGAAATCAAGGTATAAGTGAAAGATGTTTCACAAACCAAATGCCAGGCCGAGAGAGCATCACCAGAGATTTCTATCATACACTGTCTGTCACAAAATGATACATGAGAATACAATACTTTTCAACTCCTTTTAAGGAACATAATCCTGATCCCCAAACTGGCAAAGATATTATTATAGAAAATTACAGATAAATGTCCCTTATGAACATAAATGCAGAATTCCTGGACAAAATATTAGCAAATAGAATCCAGCAAAAAATACATACACATCGATAAGTGGTAATACATCGTAAACAACTGGAGCTGGCTTTGCATTCAAAAGCTCACCATAGTAACAGAATAAAAGAGATAAACCACAAGAGAGCATCTTAGAAGATTTGAAAAACTTCACTATCTCTTCAAGATAAAAGTCTTGGTATGTAATGGAAGGTATTTTACTCTATTTGAGAAAGACTGTCTACAAAAATCTAGAACTACTATTATACTTAAAACACTGTTATTCACTAAGACTGGGGAGAGTCCTCATTACTTCTATGCAACACTATACTCGAAGTCCTAGCTTAATGCAGTAACTCAAGAAAAGGAAATAAAGGGCAAAAAAGAATGGAAGACCAGAAGTAAAACTTCCATTATTTATGGGTGGTATATTCATACACATAGAAAGCCTATGAAACTATATTAAAAAGAAAATCATGCTAAAACTAGTAAACAAATTTGGAAAAGTCTCAAGAAACAAGGTAAATGTTAAAATGTCAATATATTTCTATATACCAGCTA